CCATTCTTTTTTGCCGTGAAATAAACACGCAACGCGTTTTGGTTGGTCCTTACATGCACTCGAAGAAAAGATCAAAATTCGGCTCTCCAATTTTGTTGACACTTTCTTTTCTCCTTAAGAGGCGTCAATGTCAACTTTGAGAAAAATAAACGGAAACGGAAACGAGTAGAAGAAAATGTTCATCTTTTTTTTGTTCTCCATTTTTTTAAAATTTTTCTTTGTCTTGTTAACAGGTGATGAATCATTTACAAAGAGTTCTAAGCAAAACTATTCAACAAATAGGGAAAAAAATTACAAAAGTCAAAGTTTTGTAAGGAAAACGAGGAAAAAAACTGCGGGAAAAAAATTGTGATTGAATACAAATAATTGAATTTTCGTGTTGCGAAAGAGCCAAGCTTTTTCAATTCAGCTTTTCAATCAAATGGACCGCCCACTCTATTCACGATTCAATCAAAAATAGAAAATGAGAAGCGTGTAGGAATAAAAATTGTATCAATGAAAAGAATACAGTTAGAAATTGGAAATCACAGATCTCATTCAAAAACCTTCCCTCTCTTTTCTTATTTTATTTTTCCGCTTCAACGAAACACAAAACTAAAAAAAAGAAAAAAGGACCCTTGTATTCAACTCACTTTCCGAAGGTTTCCTACGGCAACCCGTTTTTTTTTCTCTAGTACATCCTTTCTTATTGTCGCGCTGGTCCTGAGATTCGGTCGAGCTTGAAAATGGGTCAAAAAGGGAAGTGCGGTGGGTGGCTACGTCACTGAAAACATATGGGGTGTCCGCCGCTCCCCGCCCTCCATTTCATATTTATGAACTCTCTCTCTCACTTTTTCCAAAAATTAGAGATCTTTTGTTAGGCATTCGGTCTTGCAAAAAATCTGTGTTGTTTTTTGAATGATCTACTGAATTGTGTTCTAGTGGAGAACGGGAAAAGCATAGCTGATGAACCGTCTTTGAAGCGGAAATAGAAGGAGCAAAAACAAATGAGAGGGATCTTATGAGTTGAACACGTATTGAAAAAACCAAAAATGTAAAATTATGATAAGGCGGAAATATTAGAAAACTTGAAGGGATCAAGACAGAACAACCATTTTGCTTGAAATATTCGGTTTCTGTAATATGTAAAAAAAAGTAAACTGAGAAAAAAATTTGAATTCATGGGAAATGACTTGTTGACCGTATCTTTACACCTTTTCCAAAAAACAATGAAGGTTTGTTCAAAATTGACAGTAAGCATTACTTTTTGTAACAAGATTCGTAATTCATAAAAAAATGATATTTCGTTTCAAATTAATTGTAGAATCAAAAAACCTTTCATCAGAAAATTTGAAAGCCGTCATTTGTTGTGATCTACAAGGCGGCGTGGCAAAATTATCAAATTTCAGACTTTTGCTTCGTTCGGAAAATTTTTGCAATTGAGTTTGGTTTTCTGATAAAAAACAGTTTCTATAAATTGTTGCAATAGTAGTTTTATCGAGGAACCTATACTTTGTTAAAAAATTCGCAGTAAATGCACAAAAATTATTTTGGTTCAAAAAAGTATAGGATTTGGCGGTGGGGCCCCGTAAATCGACATAAGGGCTGGCAGCAGAATTTTCAGGTGTCAGTTTTTGGAATTCGACAATTGGGGTCAGTTCCAAGTTAAAAAATATATGTAGTCTTGTTCTACAATTATTTTAGAAATTCTACATTATAATTGCATGATTTGTGTCTCTGAAATTGAAAATAACTTCTAACAAAACTGGATAGAAAAGTTTTATATATCTGATCACAAAAAAATCCAATTTCTTTCTGAAAACTGATTAAAATTATTCAATCAGCATATTTTACGATAATGGTGGTAGAAAAAATAAAATAAATTTATCACACTTGCAAAGTAACTGATTATAGTTTCTGGGAGATTTCTTAGGCCAGGCTAGGTGAATGACACTAAACTAATTACTTCATTACTCAGAAATTGGTAACAGCTGATAGATTTTTGATTTATGAACCTAACTGTTAATTGTTGTCAAGGACTTTCACTAACTCGTAAGATAACTATTTTATCTGAAAATCCAACAAGCTGGATTATGAGAAAACCGAAAAATCCAATTATAGTTTGTAACGAAAAGTAAATGAAAAATGTGGGAACTCTGGTATTAAATCTAATCTAGAAAATGTTTTTAAGAATATATTGCAAATCACGTATTGAATTGAATTACCACAAAGCCAGATTTTTGGATGCCTGGAAAAGCAAAATATCCTATAGTTTTTTTTATCCAATAGAAAAAACGATTGTTGTTCGGGTGGGAAATTGTGACTAAAGGACGTTTTTAATGTTAAATATAAATGAGAGATGGCGTTGAAAATAAAGGGTTTAAACGTACAAATAAAATTGGCAAATTACGTTCCACCGCCATGAATAGAGTTAATTAAAAATTGGAATTTCAAACGAAAAAAGGGAGCTGAAATTGTTCGGAATTAGAAATAAAACAGAATATTGAAATAAGGAAATGAGAAGAAAAAATTGAAATGTTCACCTCATGCCAAAATTCAATTTATCCTTTTTAAAATATTCAGTGCATAGTATTCGTAGTAGTGACGGAAATGCTGTTGGACAGTCAAAACGACTAGTAATGTCTGAAAAGACAAGTAAAAGTAAGGAAACATCGTGAGGAGAAAATGATAATTTAGTTTGTCACCGTACGTTTTTGAAATTCCATTTTAGGGAAATGACGAATAGGTCGTCAGTTGTCAGTCAAGAATACTTACTGCATTAGGTTGTCATACACCGGAGAAAGAATTTCAATTCGAACCAAACCCACGCAATTTACAGTTTTTAATGAAAAACATCATATCTTAATTAATTGGCACAATGAAATAGTGAAACAACATGATGGCACATATCAGCCAAACAAGCCAGACGTTAAGATCAGTAAAGCTTTAAAAAAGTAAAATGGCGATTCCCGGTTAGCGAATTTTCTCCTTTATAATTCTGGTGATTTTTCCATCATTCCAATCACCTAAGACATTATCGATCGTTGGCAACGGAACCTCTTGCAAATATTCAGATGTGATTGTACAAATTAAATCTGATAAGTTCATAACATTGTACAAATTTAATCTGATAAGTTCATAACAACAACGAAATATTGATAAAACAGAGTCATTGTATCAATTTAATCAACGATTAACAATTTTTCTTGTTTAAAAAAAAGGTTCACAGTTTTTCTAACAAAAACTGCAAAAATCGAAATAAATTTACACAATTTATTCGATACAATTGGAATTAAAAATGGTCCCGGCCGTCCACCAAATTTGTAATATTCATTATATTTTTCAAACACAAGGTTGCGCAATTGGTGCTAATATTATTTTGGTAAGAAAAATACAGTCCGAAAGCGATAAACTTTGAAGTCGAGCCAAACGTAAATAGTGAAACTAAAAATTAATCCAACTGAGGATCTAGACCTTCATAATTGGAGCGGCTCAGTCTACTCAATAAGACCTCCATTCATCTGGGTCTATGGAAGATTATCACGAAAAAGCCAACTTTTTGAATTCCAACTTTTTAATGACTAGAAAATTAAAAAGTGTCTTTCAGAGAATCGACCCAAACAATTTTAAGTCGATAACTGTGAATAATTAACTTAAAAAATTTAGAAAAAACAAAACTCATAAACATTAGAAGTCATGGTACCCCACAGACGTTCAAAGCCAATGAACTGCCAAAAAAGACGAACAGCACATAAAAATGGCATGTATTTGAAAATCCAAAATTTGAAAGTGCTATTTTCCAAGTAACACGTTTTGAATAAACATTCACTTGTTATGGATGTGAAATTGAAATGCAGTTTCAAATTTTCATATTTTTTGGTGCATACTAATCACCAACTGGACTTCCACGACTGAATCGCGTTTTCAGATAATTTCATGATATTTGAGTAATTTCCGAAAAATATTGTTCTTTACGTGTTGGCCTTGCAGTTCATGAAAACCGTTTTATAAAGTTTTATGAAGGTTTACCACGTTTTAGGATATTTTTAAAACTTTGATTCTAAACTTTTCAGGTTTTCTATTGACTGGGAAGTTCTGGACAACATGTTGTGGTAATCCCATCAGGGCCTGAGCAAAAAGATCTCCGAAAATGTAGGAAAAATTTTCGAATTCGAAATAAAAAACAGAAAAAACTTATTGAATTTTTTTCGGTAACCGATCGAAATAAAGATATTTTTGGCCTTGAATTCTACGTCGTTTTGTGTTATTCAAATGAGAGTGCGAGCCAGAAAAGTTTCCATTGTAGGAAGTAGATATTCAGTTATAACAAAAAAAACCATCGAAATAAAACTGAACAAATCAAAAAAATTGTTTTTTAAAAAACTCCACTTCCTCGAATTTTGCTTTGAACGAAGATTTTTTAATAGTTATTTCATTTCTTTCAAAAGTACACACTTGATTTGTAAATACATAAGCAGACAAATATTGGGACAAGAAAAGTAAATTGCCTGAAACGGCATACGTTCCCATACTTGAACAGACGGGATGGGGTGAGATGTGAAAGGTCAAGAAGAGAAAAAAACAGAAAAGAAAAAGAAGAAGGAGAATTTGTAAGCGGTCATCGATAATAAATACATAAAACCTGTTGTACATCTTCTGGGAGAAAATATTTGGTGTTGGAAAAAAAGGAAGGAGAACAGAAAAGACGGAATAAGAAGATAATAAATAATGGCCGTTTATGCGCTTGCATATGGGTTGGGATAAGATAGTTTGACATTTTCTATAAAGAATTTCTGTAGTCTACCAGTCAGAGACTGTATGATGATGTACAAAATCACTAATGTGTGCTACAAGATGGGAGATTCAGAAAAAGAGAAGGATATGCTCAAAGGAATGTTCAGATAGTATAGACCTCCTTTTTCAAAAAATGACCCGTAAAACCGAACATTCTAGACAAAAAAAGTGATAAAGCCAACCGGAATAATGCAACCAACAAAAAATGAAATGATAAAGAGAAGTATTTAAAAAGAAGCCTTCCGCGGTAGCACAACTTTTTCATTTGTGGACCTTGGCTGGGCACTTTTTCGACGAGGGATTATTGGAGCCGCACATAAAGTGTCCATTTGGATTTCTGGCGGTGATGGTGATTCTTTTGTGATTAGTTGCTCCTCCTCTTCAGAATTTCTTTTTTGCACCAAAATACGCATCATTGCAGACTTTTTACGTGCTGAACCATTACTGAAAAACAAAAGAATGAACTCAAAAATTTCAGAATAAACTGAGACTCACAATATAAAACTTGATGGCTCCTGTTGAACTTTACCCATTAAACTTGTTGACACGTATGGTTGTCCGTTGGCTGCGGTATTAATGTATGTTGCTTTGATTGCCTAAATTTCTTAATTTAATTTTGATATCTAAAATAATTAAGGGTAGAAGAATACTGAAACTGAAAAAAAGAGTGAAAAAAGAACTTTTTGTGGGAGTGTGAAAGTGTGAAAGAGTGAAAAAAGATAGAAAAAGAAGTCACAATGAATTTACATCGATAGAAGTGTTCACTTTCTTTTTTTTTATTTCTCTTATTTTTCCAGTTCAGTATCCTTACCCTTTTTCTTTTACTCAATTTTTCCTACGCCCATAAAGATCCCAATCCCTGATTGATTTCAACCAGTCACTTTGAAAAATCACCTTCTTTTTTGTCTGCGCCACTCCCATCTATGCCAATAAACTTGTGGACTCCACCTCAAAAGAATAAAAAATTTAATTAATTGGGGGAACATCTACAATCTTCCGTTTCAAGAGTCCACAAATATGTATTTCAAATCGAATCATCACTACATTCAAAATCTACTAGCATCATTGGAAAATACGTCTAGAGGGAGGGAGACACAGGGATACCATCTAAATGGTATACAGAAGGAGGAGATTCATATTCGTGCTACAATTGCGCAGTAATTGGTATATACTTCAATCGGGAATCAGAATCTTTAGGTTCCAAAGGGGTCAAGTTGGTTCAAAGAGAAAAGTCTCATGATTTATACAAAGATGTCTCAAAAAGCTTCTATTCCACGCAATTAACACTTCACGTAAGTGGAAACTAATCGAAAAATACAGTACCTGTCAATAAGATATACAAAAAGGTATCTTTCAGTTGATTTTTCGCCATTCTGATAATTTCCAGGAGTTTGGAGCTCGGCTTTCAAGTTTCCGATCACTTTGAAAACTTCGTAGGGTGCAGAACAGACCTAGATAAAAACTTGGCATTTACAGAATTTTTTGTAGATTCCTAGTTTTTTCAGCTATTGAACGATTTTTGAAAGACACACATTTTTCGCGTTTTCAGTACAAATACGGACCAAAAACGGGTGTCTTTCATAAATCGGCAAATAGCTCAAAAACTAAGAACTTACGAATAATTCTACGAATGCACAGTTTTCAATCTAGGTCCCCTAAAAAATTTTCAAAGCAATCGGAAACATGGAGGTAGAGTTTCACACTCCTGAAAATAGCCAAAATGGCCGAAAATCAACTGAAATTTACGTTTTTGTATATTTTATTAACTGTTACTGTATGTACCAGTGAAAAAGCGTTGAGAAGCTTTCAAAAACAAATGTGCAAAACCACGTGGCTTTTTTCAATGAACCACACTACCACCACAAAGTCAAATACTCATAATAATAATTTGAACGTTTTTTCTCTCAGGTAAAACCCCGATCAACAAACATCATGCACATCCATCATCATCATTATCATCTGCAAATATTCCTCGAGATGTACCATCTGTGTTTCATGCGTGTCTCTTTTGTCAGCCAGTGTGTCCACATAGTTCTGTTCAATAAATTCAAAGTCGCAGGCCCTACTTTTTTCCAATTTCAAAAACAACAAGCTCACAGGTATATGTATATTCAAACTGTGCGCTAAAAATACACATGTTCTACTAAAATTTTGAGACCCAAATATTTCAAAAACTCTTTCGAATCATGCCAAAGTTCTTATAGCGAAATGGTGATTATCAATGTTTTCAAAGAAATGTGTGTAGGAGATAGACATGGATAGAAAGAGGTCGAAAAATCACGACAAGTGCTATATGTTTGAAAAAATGTCCATAACTGTGTGGAAAAGGTTTTTCGTGAGGCACGTGCACAATGTATTGTCGAACCGGGCTGTTACCTGTGTAGCCGTAGATCCGTACTTATTTGTGATAGTCATGGTAGGATGGGTGAGAAGTGGTGAGCTGTTATCCCCATCAAGATTCAGCCGACGACGGAGCCATTGAGGCATCAAGTCGATAAAGGCGGCACGGAGTTGAAGATTGAGGACAGCGTAGAGAAGTGGGTTCCAGACCTGGAAAAATAGAGTTAGCGCAGAAACATAATATATTCTGACTCCTTAATAATATTATTATTTCCTCTACCTACCGTTGATGTCATTGCAATACAATGAGTGGCGATTCCAAAGATGTACTCTTGGTTCTTGATGAGGTCAGGGAGATACTCATAGTCTCTGAGGATATTGAACGTCACAGACCAAATCCAACTAAAAAAAAACAATAATGCACACTTTTTCATCCTCTTATTCATCTCATTACCTGCAAGCAAAAGCGACAACCATACCGATGAGCATCCGATTAGTTCTTTGTCTTCTCTTCACCGCCATCCTTTGTTGGTCACTTAATTCGATCTCCCAATTGTCTGTCTTCTGCTTCTTGGCGCCTTTCAGAATCATGCTTTGTCCGATTTTCAGCGAAATCGCCGTGTAGGAAATGATGATGATGGTGAGCGGAATAACGAGTTGCAAAAACATCAGCGCGGCTCCATAGATTTTGCGCTGGCTCTCGTTGGCTCCCCAGTTTTCCGTGCAGTAGAGCCCGCAAAAGTTCTCGAATTCTCCAAGACGTTGCTTGAACATAATCGGGGATGTGATAGTGGCAGCAAACGCGCAAATGAGCTGAATAGGAAACACGTTGGAAAATAGAGTTGCGGTACATTTATGATTTCTTACAGCGATGACCCCAAGAGCCTGATAGTGAGAAATTGGTTTTCTCATTGGGAATCGGATTAGGATATATCTATCAATGGAAATAGCAGTGAGAGTGAATGTTGAGTAACACAAACTGATTCCCTGGAAGTTTAGAACGTCAACCTTGTTTTTATTCAATTTACATACTGCAATGAAAGGAGCCACACGACAAAGAACTTCTCCAAAAATCCATTCCTTCTTGAAAGCCGTAATTGGAGTAATTGTTGCAGATGTGCAGCACACCACAATATCAGAGCAGGATAAAGATAGGATGAAGAGATTTGGAACTGTTTGAAGTGCTCTAAAATTTTGAAAATTCTTTTGATCCCTATTTTTTTCAACACTCACTTATTTCTGGTAATTGCCAGAATGACACAAGTGTTTCCAATGATTCCAGCAGCAATGATGATAAGATAGAGGAAAGCAAATATCAACATTATATACCACTGAAAACAGAAAAACAGATCAAATATGTTCTATCTACTTATCACATCATTTTTCAAATCATTTTATCATTTTGAAAAGGTTGTAAAAATTTTGGAAAGGTCGAAACATCTAGTTTAACTCACCCTTGTTGACATATCTTCTCGATAGAGCCATAACTCCGAGTTGAGGTTCAAGCAGTCCGTACTATTCTGCATTCTGGAAAAAAGGGAAAATGACGTGATATGAAAAAAAAAGCGGAGATTAAATTCCTTCAGGTAGTGAAATTTTTCCAGTTTTCATTCAAAAAATTAGACAAAGGATTATCTAGGAAGAATGAAATCTGCAAGAAAACTAAATTTGTTTACTAGAAGAAGAATATTCCGGATGTAAAAAAGAGAATAAAACACAGAATGAGTAGTTCGTCTTTTCTCTGCTTTTCAAAAGGAAAGTGCAATAACAAGACAATAAACCAAAACAATTTAGCTCAAAATTGGCTTTTAGTACTACAGTATACCCAAGGAAAGCACTTTGAGCAGCTACAACGTTTTATGATCTTAAAAGTGGTCCTTATTTTGGGAATTTTCGAAATGTGAAATGAATCGACTTGACATTTCTTTTTATGGCTCACTAAAAATTCTAAAATCTCAAGAACCAAAAATAGGTGAGTCGTTCGTTCTAGTCGTTCGTTCTGATTCCAGAACTTTCTCAAATACTCATTTCTCTGCGAACTTTTACTAGTCAGAAACTAAAACAAAGTGAGCGGGTGACAATTACTGGCTGACACATGTCTAGACATTTGCCTTTTAAGTTTCAGTCTAGGTATACTGTAATCATACTAAAACACTTATGAGATTGCTCAGGAAAATCGGAAACTCAATTAGTTCCACATCTGGAATACTTGGAAACAGAAGAAAATTAAATTCGAAAAATATTGTTTTTGATTCAGAACAACTGGCTGAAAGTGAGATCTAATTGAGTTGTGTTGAGTGTTGGAGACTACGGTAGTTTTTTTTGAAAATGCACGAAATAGGAAAACTTTTTTTTTCCGAGAATCCAAAGTGCAGTTTTCGAGGTACCCCCAGACATTCTTATTTCAAAAAATTCATGAGCCCGATTTCCGACCACATGCTTCAGAAAAAAAGAATAAAAATAAAAATTGAAGGAGGTTTGATCCGTACCGCCTTTCAGGAATCTCCCACATTCTTTTTTAAAAACTATGTCGGTGCCAGGCTCGGAAGTGGAGCCTAATTGTGAGTCGGGTGAATCAATTAGGCTACACTGGACACTTGCAGAAATTGTGGAATCCAACTTTTCTAATAGAGTAAGATGACCATGTGTTTTTAAATGATGAACGCGACTCGACAGATATTCATTAAAAATTCAAGAAAAATGGTTCTAGACTTGTTTTTTTTTCTTGCTACATAACCGTTCCAAGCAGTCACGAAAATTTATGACAAATAATGTGATTGTTTGGTTTATCCCTATTATTGTACGTTGGGTTAGGCTGAGCAATATGCACAAAAAAATACTGCAGGTGAATAAAAATACTTAATGTTAGTTCTGTGATGTTCAAAAACAGTGTGAATCATTGTATTCTATAAAAAATGGATTGTTTTGATCGAGGAAATCGTTTTTGATTACTCTATTTCAGCTGGAAATGACGTGAAAAATTACAGTATAATATTTAAAAAAATAACGTTGTGTGATGAAAGATTGGGTTTAATCACCAACCTAACAAAAAACCAATTGTTCCGAGAGATTTGATTGATGAGCATCTAAGATATTCTTATGGAAGAATGAAAAACAATAAAAATTGATCATCAAAAGCGTTCTATCACTTGCATGACTAGGTTTTTGTTCCAATAAGGGTGTGAAGAAAAGAAAATGAGATGAAACGACTGAATTCGTTAGTGTTATGTTTTCTTCTCCCTTTTGATTTTCTTACATAGAACCCAACTGGAAAAAAATGATCCAAAAACAATTAAAATCATCTTGGTATTTCTAGAAATCAGGTGAAAAGAACTCTCCCAGGTTTTACCGAGAATTCGAACAAACCCCTGAATTTTGAACAAAAGGATATTTTTGTGTATAACAAAAACAGCTCGCTTATCTTGAAGGTTGAAATTTGGTATAGCAATTCTAGAAAAAGCGAGGGAGAAGAAGATCCTAAACCACCAGATTAAAGCATGCGGTGGCGAGAAAACACTTGGCGGATTTGTATGATTCATTACTTATAAAACTACTGAATGGTAATAACTTGAGAGAGAAATTAGAGATTAAAATTATAGAAACCAAAAAATAGAACTAGTTCGAGAATAGTTCAAAAGCTCAAAACATGAGAACGAGCCTAAATATTTCTGCTTGTTCAGAGAAAAATGTTATGTTCAAAATATTAGGTACAGCTGAAAAATCCTAGAAAAATACATGACTATTATCATTTATCAGCCACCAATGCGACTGGCCATCTCCAGCTGCTACTGTAACTAGAAATAGCTTGACATTTTTCAAGGAATTTTTAATTGTTTGAAACATTTTATTGAGAAAAAATTTTGAATAATTTATAAGTCCCAGGAAAATGTTCAAATTGAGTGGGCTGTCATACGTGACTAGCCGAAAACTGGAAAAAAGGATCAAAATTGAGTTAGCTGGATCAGAAGGAGTGATCGAGAATGATAGGATAAATACAATTTGGGAAAAGGTAAGAACATGGAATATCAGAAATCACAAATTCCAATGATCAATGAATTTCGAACTGATAATTATCCCCGGAGATTTGAAAAAATAAGTTTTTGAAAAAAGAATTTTCAATAAAATTTCAAAATGAGTCAAAATAGTCTGGAGATTAATTGAGAAGTGCGAGACGTGATATCTTACAAGTAGCGGCTCATTCGATCAGATGTTTGAGCTCACTTCCAACAATGACGACTCAAACAATTCTTTCTAGTGTGTGGGAAACATTTTCGCGCAACATTGGATGGACCAGAGGATAATCAAGAGTAGTAGGAAACAATTTGAAGACGTTACTTCCGAAAGCAACCTTTCCGTTAAATTTGAAATTCTCCTGAGAATTAACTGGAAACAAAACAAGGATTGGCTTACTGCGTTCCGTAGCATACGAGGGGAAAAGGAAAGCAGCACTAAAATAATTTAACCTAGTGAGATATTTCGTTTTCTTCTTTTTGTTTTACCCTCTCTCTACACCTCATTTTTTCCTTCCCGTGACCATTCCCCCCCCCCCTTTATTCTTGCTACTTGTTTTGCTATTCTTTTTCTCTTCATTTTGGACCAGTCTTCCGAGACCCAAGAACAGATAGACCAAAATGATACAAACAAGTCTTGAAACTAAAGACTAAGTTTCGGAAAAAAATGAGAAGTGAGAAGAAGAAGCGATGAGCAATAATACCAATATTTGTTTGACAGGGAAGAAAATGAGAAGCGAGGAAATAATGAAGCAACTCGGCGAATAAAAAAACCGGGGAAAACAAAAACCAAAAAAGCGGATGCACCGGCGTGAGCTTGGATCTTGAATAAATCAAAAATAGAGCCGAACAAAAACTAATTTAGAAATGAGCATGACAAAAGAAAAAATAAAACTATGGTTTCTTTATTAGACGGATCAAAATCGCGAGGGCGCTGATGATCCCATAAATGACGTTTTTATCCGATATGTTCCAAAAAGTAAAAATCAGCAACAGTTTGTTCAGTAAAGACCGAAAAAGAAGATTACCCCGGTCAATACCAATGTTTATGCTAATTTCTTGTTGAACAAAAATCAAGAGAAAATAGAGATCCATGAACTTTTCGTTTTGGTTTATATACACCCTACAATACTGGTCGCTACCCACTCAAAATTTGTAGCTTTCTTCTGATTACGATGACTACCTCAGAATACATTACTATATATTTCCTGTTCCCTGATTGTGTCTAAAAACTATGATGACGCGGTATGATTGAAAACAATAAGCCACTACCGTAATCCGAACACGTATCTAAGTAGAACTGAATGCAAATGTAAAATTTATGTAAATCTACAAATGTCCAAATATCATTTGAAAATGAGTACCCCGAACAGGAGAACAAACAGACACAAAGAGGCAATGGTTCAAGTTTTCAGAAATGAAGAAGATAATTTTCTCTCTTTCTCGTTTTTCCAGTTTTTCTGGTGTCCAATTTCTGGAGGAGGCTCATAGAAAAGACGAAGCAAAAAATAGCTCGTATGGAAAAGAAAGGCACGAGTCAGGAGACAGAATTCGAGTCATTCTAGGATATTTTGTCAAAAGATGTGTGTGGACGGACGGACTGGAATTTGTTACGCTCGGACGCATCCGAACGGAATAGTGAGGAAAGCGGATAGGTTGGAATGGAGAAGAAAAAACGCAGTAGACACAACACATCAATTAATTAACTGTTAGCAAGAATTTTTAAATTTCCGTATGATATCGTGATCTGTTGAAATCATGTTTTTTCTCACCTAAAACGCGGAAGGGGTGGGGCAAAAGAAAGTGGGAGGAGGGACCGATTACAGAGTCATAAAATGAATTATGACGATTTCTTTACGAGGATTAGATTAGCCGTATATGTTGAGGAAGTTGGTAGCATTCGAGTAAAAAAGGTGTGAGTGTGTGTGTATATGGAATGCAAAGAGACACAGAAAGAGGATATGTAGTGACGTGGTGTGTGAGCGTGGATTAAGATGTTGCAAGTATTTGCGGGTGGGGGGGGGGGGGGGTCTCACGATCTCCTATTTCAAGTCTATCTTAAAAGATGTTAGGAAATAGGGGAATACCCATTAGCTGGACCGTTGTCACTTTAACGCACTCCAGAACTTCGAACTGTTCTGAAATCGGATTATAAAGTTTTGTTTTCCAATAATTTATTCCTGAGGTCAATAGTCTATAGAGATTATTTTTAATTTGACTCCTCCCATTTCCAATTTTCAAACCTTTTCAGTACGAATCTGCAAACAACTGGATTACTACTACCACCCGTTTAATCGTTTCCATCAACTATGAGACGCTCTGATCAGAGAGCATCATTTTGCAACCATCTTAACCCATTTCTCTCATTCATCAATGGAATTTATAGGGCACTTTACTTGAGCCTTTTGACTCTTGTTTTTATGTTGAACGATTTAACTTCACATAAAAAATGTCACTGTAGAAAAATGTGACTTTAAATTTTCGTCTTTCTGCAAAAAAATTGGTTATCTATCTAACCGATCAACAAATGAAATTTCAGGAAAAATGCTGAAGTGAGCTGCAAAACGCTCTTTTGGAAGTCATTTTCCGGGGGGAAAAGTTTGGTGTTTGATGATTTATGAGATCTATCCAATTTTTTTTGAGAGAATTCATAATTTTAGTGTGATTAGTTAAATCCTCGGATGATAATGTTTCCATGATCACTTTGTGTGTTCTGTGTGACTATTCAACTAGAACTGAGTGGGCTGCAACCATGAAATAAAAAGAAATGAAGGTCAGGAAATTTGAATAAGAGAAAATTATCAAGGTGAAATCAGGAAGACGTGATGGAATCCAGAAGATAAGTCAGAACACATTCTAAGAAATATATCTGATAAGAGGCAATGATTGGGGAGCACCCTGAGGTCAAATTGATCAAGAGATGAAAAGAGTAGGATATCCTGACATCTAAACTCGAAAAAAAATATTGAGAGATATTTTTCAACTTCACGTGAATTTCAGGAACCTTAAATTTTGTTTATATCATTTCCGGACCAAAACGAATACCAGAAAATTGTTTTATAATATTTCTGTAATCGATCATTACAATTGGCAGGTGATCCGAGAATTATCTATTTCTTACAGAATTCGCGTTAAAAAACGAAGATATTCTTGGATTTGCTACCACTATTCTCAAAATACATTTCAACTTTCGTAGGAATCCTGGGGCCAATTTTTCAAGTATAATCTCTTTGTTGACAGTCTGGAATGAGCATTTTAACCTCTAGTCTGCAGAATGAAAAGAGAGTGTTAACATGTTAATGAATACACTTTGATGGATTGAAAATGGGCGGAACTGAAAAGTTGAAAAATAGAAAAATAGCTGAGAGAGATTGGACTTGTTTACTCTGCCCTTTCAAATGAACCAGTACTGACAAACAGACAGATTAGATGCCATGCCTGTAGTCAATAATAGAAAATACGAAAAAATTGAACTCTTTGGAGTCGGTCCACAAACTGGATTATCTCCCCCGCTCGCGGCCCTGATGTCTTGAAAAAAACAAGGATTTCGTTTCTATTTATAGTTTTTTTCTCAACCGGTGTGAGTAGAAGAGCAGACCTTCCTATTTTTTGCTACTGCCAATTCTTCGAAAGCGGGGAAAATAAATTGCAGGTTTCAGAATCAGGCAATGCTCGTCATTTTTTGAAAGCAAAGCTCAGTAAAAAGGTTATGAAAATAACCAAAACAAAAATGATGGAATAATAAGACTATTCTCGAATTTTTTTAAAAAACCAATACAACATCAGTGATTCTTTTTATCAGAGATCTTTTGGATATTGATACGAAAACACTAATCATAAGAAGAGTATTGTTTTTATATGATATTTGCTCATGGAAATGCTAAATCCTTGTTTTTCTAACATCATCTAATGGCGTGGTGCTGGAGTGTTTTTGGAGAAGTTTTTTTTTGGCGAAGTGAAAAATGTTCAGTTAGAACTTGAGTAAATGCTATTAGTTGGTTGGAGACACCAAAGAACGATGCTGAGTTTTTTTATAAACTGAAATAATTTATATTTCCTTCACAGTTATAAATTGAAAAAGTGTGATTTTCAAATTATGATTTTCAAACTTCTTCTTTCAGTCTTCTTGGTAATAATTAATTAAAAATAAACATTTTTGTTCCATTCCAGTCACGGCGTTCTTTTCTCTCGTTTGGCTTCATCTGATGATGATGATGATGATGATGATGAAGATGATGATGATGATGATTATGGTGACAATGTGTCTTCGAACTTTAAGCGATTTTCATTTTTAAGGCTGCTCTAGCTACCACAGCCGCCACCAGCATCATTTTCATCATCAATTGGAAAGCAAAAACAAAATCAGACAAAATTATGTCTTGTTTTTCCTGCTCCTCCTTCTCCTCCCAACTCATCGCGATGAGAAAAAAACTACGGGATGAGCTCATCATCATGAGAAGAGAGGATATGTTTCCGGGACGTCTCTGCTTGTATTTGTATATTTCAGATCCATCTGTTTATTTGAGTGCGGTGGTGGTAATATGTACGTGAGGAATTGCAAAATATGATTCACGTTTTTCTCTCGTGAATACTCAAAATCAGACCATCATTCATAATTGATATACGTATTGTGAGAAAGAAGAATGGGAGAAATGTTTTTTTGCCGCTCATTTTGGACGGGAGAAAAGAACTGGAACGATGGGGACAAAATGAATTCAAAGAGTTTTTGGGATTGTCGGGATTTAAAGAACGTTTTTGAAAGTTTTAAAGGAACATTTTAGTGGAAAAGAGATCGATAATATTGTAACCAACGATAATTATTCGATTGGAAGGCAGTTTGGGATTTTGAATTTACTGGACAGCGCGGACGATTCTTTTCCAAAACTTTTTCTCGGACAGGTCCGGCCAGTTTTGGGCCGCGTTCCCAGTAGTTTTTTCTTATATTTTCAAAACATTTTGAAGTAAATAAAAGTCTTTAAACAGAATTTCTGCTTAAAAAAAGTTCCAATGAAAAAAATATCGTTAAGAAACTATTTTTACCGGGCCAGGCTCTGGTTTTCCAAGTATGATTATAACAACTAGAATTGCATCAATTAAACTTAAACATTCTAAAAAAATTCAATTTTATTATAATTATTTGTTAAATTATCTATTTCTCGTTTTGGCAATTTCAATTTCTGAACTTTTATGAATAAATTAATTTTTATTAATTACCTGTGGGTCCCCAAATGAAATGGCATTTTGACACAGTATATTTCTTAAGCAACGAGATTTCGGAAGATCGAGTAAATGAATACTATTTTAACCGATCAACTTTCATTCCGGGTTTAAGAACATCAAAAAACGACGCTAATTATCTTACTCAGAGCCCAACCTTTTCGGAAAAAAAGCAACATCAAAATAAGCTCAATCTGTCGCTAGCTGCCACACCACTTGTGACGCAATCAAACTATGAAAAAACTATGCAAATCACATCGCAGAACTGAATTCTATTAGTTCAGATACCACTACTACTGTTTAAATATAGGAGAATAGATAGGCACGATGTATTTCCGAACTTACTTAAAAGAATCGAAAATTAAAATAAATTGGAGTGTGAAAAAAGAAGAGGAAGAAAAATAAAAGCAAGCTTCTCGAATTCAAATTCTAACAAATTTTCAAACTCGGCAGCTATTTCTCTCTCAGATAAATATCTTCTTTGAGCAGAGAATAAAATAAAGTAAACGAATTTTTTTTGCTTCTCTTCTATTTCCCACACTTTTACTAGGTTCTAGGTTCATATTTAAAATATTCCAAACAGCGTTTATTTAAGGATAACAAGATCAGAATATTTAGGCTGTTCTGGAACCTAGAATTACTGAAATTGTGGTCTTTGACAAAACGGCATCTACGTCAAACACAACAAAACAAAACTTCCTCGGCCGCCGACAAACTTTTGTTCATTGTTTTCCGGACCTCTAAAAGGTGTACTTCCAGGTTGGTTACTGATGTCTTTATAAATTGAATGGACCCTCAGACGGCATGAGGAAACCTCGTGATGAGTACTTCCTTTCGTTGGAGTTCCTAGTTTTCTTAAGTTTTGTTTTTTAAAAATATGTGATAGAACGGAAAAAATAAACGTTTTGAACTATGGGAATGAGAAGGAAGGGCAACCAGATGATAGTTCATCAAAACGGAAATTTGTTAAAAGCGGAAGACAGAAGCTGTTGTGATTGAATTAGAGGCAAAGCTTACGGTATAGAAAGAAAATAACTTTTTAGAAGATTTGTAAAATGAGTGTTTGAACAAACTTTCAAGGTCCTACCCGGACCGACTCTCGGTATCAAAAATTCCTGTATTATAAAACTATTTCTCATTTTTTCAGTTGACAATTGTTCAAAATTATATTTTTTGTTTTTTGTAAAACTTCAGTACCGACCGGTCAATAAAATACAAAAACGTATTGTTCTGTTGATGTTTGACCATTTTCCGATTTCGGAAAAACGCCTTTCTAGTACAAAAACAGATCAAAAAGGGATGTTTTTCAGAAGTCAGAAAAAAACTGAAAAGCTAGGAATTTCATAAAAACTTTGCGAATCCAAAGTTTTCAATTTAAATATGTTTTACACTATCCAACATTTTAAAAGCGATCAAAAACTTGACAACCGAGCTGCAGACCCTTGAAAATGGTCAAAATCAACTGGAAAACACGTTTTTGTCTCATTAACCGGTACTGTACATTATTCTATTTAACTTTCTTCAATTGCTTCTAAATCATGTTTGTATTAATGCTATCGTTTACCGGGCCTGGACCTTCGAAAATTGAAAAAGCCCGGACAGGCTCCAAGTTTGCGAAATCTTGAATTAAATGATTTTCAATCTGGAATCTGTTTTTCAAAATATCATTTAGTAAAATGAACTAACTAATATTCTTGAAATGTCCTCTGAATCTCCTACTTCCCCATTCTGCCCTTAAGAAACTGAAGACCTCAAAAACCTGAATATTAAACCAAAAACACGTAGCCAATTTTATAATTAACAAAATCAACCTTGCAGCTCCATTCTGAAACGGGAATCCGTCGTCAATCATGAATAATTCAGGAAGGAGAATCACTTGCAGCTACTGGACCAATTTTCTTTCAACAAAAAAAAGAAGAAAGGAAAATGCTCAATGAACTTGAGATTTCGGATTTGGTTCCTTTCATGTAAATTAGAGTAGGTAAATGGAAAACAGACAATGTTAGGTCGGGGGAAGATATGACGTTAGGTCTTTGAGCTAAGTTCAAAAAGTACTTCTTTTGTTTTCAAGAAACAAGCAAAGGTCGGTTTTAGTAATTGCCAAGAAAACAATGAGTCTTTGAGAATCATTTTTGAACCCATTTTGGATCAATAAACAAAAATGTCGATGTCTGACTGAAAACTGATGATTTGGTGTTTTTCAACATGGGTGCAATTTTTCAATTTGTCTATAATTTGTTTCTTGTTTCTCGTGATTAGCCCCAATCTCATCGAAAAGACGCGGACAAGTTGATTGGTCGGGAAAAAAATGAAAAGAAGAAAACAAAAGATCGAGAATCAATTGGTTACTGTAGAAAAAAAGACGATGTCTGGAAAACAACACTGTATTTTTTGTGATTCACGTTTTGAGCCGTTTTTTCTGACCAACGTCATCATTATTCCCCGATGGGACCTCCCTTCCCTAAAATTGAATTTTATGCAAAACGGAAAGGGGGTGTTGAAAGATGAGATTTCAATTTAAAGGAGAAAGAAAACGAGAGTAAAAGTCGCGTAGTACCAATTGACGTTCGTTTCTTTTTTCTCAAAAAAAAAACTTGTGATTTGGTTACTAAAAACCCCTTCAGCCTAAAAGAGAAATGAGTGATGGTTGTATGACAAGTGCAATACATTTTTGGTGTTTTCAAGTAAATTAGTTTTGCTTTTAGCACCAAGAAAAACTGGTCAATAATTCAAAATTCACAAGTTTCAGCGGCACTCGAAACTTTGAGTTTTGAGCTTTTCAAGGCTGGGTTTCTTCGAATTTCCTGAGTTGTCTAATGTTTTTTCTCTTTTTGGTACTATATGAACTCACTTCTCTCCAAATTTTCTCGCCCGTGTGATATTTCCGATTATGATCGTTCCAACGTCCAACATTTTGATTTGTATTTGAGAGAAGTCCTTCACCTAATTTTTGGAATATTTGAAAAATGCAGTTTCGTAAACTACAACATATTTTTAAAGCTTACCGTGGTTATAGTCGTGGGGGTTTAGTACCAAGCTGGACGTGTCGTTGACAGACAATCCGGCTGAAACGATTGAATTAAAAGAATCGAGAAAGAAGAACGATTCGAGGAAAAAAGAAGAAGAATCATGGAATTTCTAGAACATCTGGAGTCGAAATGTAGGAAAAGGCAAAACGCAGCATTTTGTTTTTAAAGTTTCTAGAAATGCCAGCTTCAAATCTGTCACCTAATCGAATAAACAAATGATAGCAGTATTTTATTAGCAAAGAAAAACAAAAAAAATCGAAGGATTTAACGAGCTAACCCTGAGAAAGGAGTTTGTATTAAAATCAAGTTTATTGAAAATTGGCACTGAAAAATCGCAGTGTCTTGTAAACCTTATTCATCTCCCACGACTGTAATAAAGAGCCCCGAAAAATTAAACAAAATAGGTATACGCACACAAATTTAAAAAAAAAGCGAAAACGGAATGACTGCAGATTGGCTTGTCCTCTGTCCTCTCCGAAACGTTTCTCAATTGTCTTAGAGGGTCCATTTGGCAAAATAGAAGTGAAGCTCCAAGAAAAACGCGGAGAAGAATGGGAGGGCGGACGATGGAGACCAAGTGGATTGGAGGAAAAAATGGGCTCACAAAAAGAGGGACGACAAGGAGTCATGTGGGGATGACCTCTAAGGATGTGCAAATTTGTGGTGAGCGCCTTGATTATTCTTGTCTAGAGGAATTGTGCCGTCACACTTAGATTCATCAGATTCCAGGTAAGAAGTTGAAGGTTCGAAGAACAGAATAAAAGTGAGGATATGATAATGAGTTATAGAGAAACGAGCTCAAGATCTTAGCAATAACAGGAGTAATGCATCTACGGTAGGTTTTTCTTCTTCTATCTACTACATACAGTGCCGGTCAATAAGTTATACAAAAACTTTTTTTCAGTTGATTTTCGGCTAATTCGACTTTCGATCAGTTTGAAAACGTTGGAGGGTGTAAAACAGACCTAGATTGAAAACTTTGCAGCTACAGACATTTTGAAAATTCCCAGTTTTCCAGTTAATCGCCGATTTCTGAAGGACACCTGCTTTTTAAACATTTCCAGTACAAAAAGGGTCAAAAAAAGATGTCTTCCAGAAATCGGCAAATAGCTGAAAAACTAGGAATTTTCGAAAAATTCCACGAATGCAAACTTTTCAATCAAGGTCTGTTTTACACCCTCCAAAGTTTTCAAGGTGATTGCAATCTTCATAACCGAGATCCAGACTTTTGAAAATGATCAAAATCAAAATTTTTTTAAATCAAATACAAAAAGTTTTTTTATGAAATCACAAAACTTTAGAAACTGCACGTTTACCGATTTCTGACAAAATACATTTTCAAGTCAGTCTGAAAATTTGAAAACTGTAATTTACCATTGAAACAAAATTGAGGCATTTGTTGGAAGAAGAGAGAATGGAAAATGAACTTTCTGAGCTTTTTCAAACAGAAACTTAATAACACGTTCAGCTCTTAGCGATCGAGTGATCAAGTGTTGAAACTACTGTAGACTCAAGAAGCGAACAAAAAACGAGAGGCGTGTCTTACGGTACATATTCTTGAGTGGATTGGATGACGGCGGGTTCCGAACCTTCCTCAATTCGTCGTAAATCTTCCATTCTTGGAAAAAAAACAAGAATAAAAACGCTAATAAAAATACCCGAATCTCAACGAATTATGAAGAAGGTAATAAGATCATAAAAACAAAAACCGTGAAGTTTGAGTGGTTCTGCCCTATCAGAAAATAATAGCTAGAAAGGAAAACAAAACTTGTGCATATTAATCTAAAAAGGTTTTAGGCGAGCTTTACGCTTGCAGACTTGATGGGAGATGGGATCTCTTAAGGTTAATTGGTTAAATCAGTCGCTCTTATAGGCTCTCCGAAATTTTTTTTTCCAAAATATCTCAGTTTATAAATCGAATGTCTACAAAGATAAATATTCAGACACTTCCATCCAAAAAAATACAAAATAAATCCCAAAGATTCTGGAACACATCTCACACACAGATAAAAAAGTAAATATAACTCAAGTGAGTGTCAAAAATATTGTAAAGTAAACAAAAGAAATTTGAAGATTCTGTCTCCGGCCACAAATTAATAGAGATATATTGTTTTTGTAATCGGTGTCATGAGATTCAATTCGAGTGTCTGGGGCTAAGGTGAACGATCAGGCTGAACTGTGTGACTCAATAACACTCAACTGGGATATATCCAAAAATACGTGCACTATACAAATGTGACTGGAGTTAGGGATACAATAATTATAGAGAACAACTCTCAAACTGTTCTGTACAAAGTTAAATGCTAGATACTTTGAAAAACACAAATCACATTTTCAAAATCGGAACATTAAAAAAATAGAGCGTCAAAGCTCAGTTGCAGTGTTTTTTTTCCAAAACGGCATATCCCCGGAAATTAACGTAAACTTCACAGGAAGAATGTCTACCTGCTGGATAACCTACAAACTATGAAAAAAATTTTGAATCTAGACCGTTCAATAAGTTTTCAGCACCACCCTCCAAATTTCCGGTCTAGAAGGAACGGCTCCATACTCCAAAAAAGCAGCGTCTCTTGACTCATCCTCTTCTAATTTTCCAGAAAACACTTAGCGCTTGACAAATACAACGTCGTCGTCCACCACCACAACCATCCAAAACACGAATCGGGTCCCGCAACTTCCAATTCGGGAGGAGAGGTTTTGACGTATGCGTAAGCGGGCGGGAGGCTATGGTTAATTTGAATCCAAGACAAAAAGAATGACGATGCATCGAAAAATGAGAGATTTGAAAATTTTTCTAGGAGGTATATCGGAGGAACACGGGATAAAAGTTTTGGGATATCCATACTTCTTTTTTACTACCACCAACACGGTGCTCTTTTTTCTTCCTCCCTCCCATATTTCGTTTGGTGTGATGTGGTTCCAAAATGCTAAATTCAATTTCTGGACTCATCTCACTTTCTGAGACTTTCTTCTTCTTTTTTCGCTTGCTGTCTCAGTTATCTGCTTGCAGGACTGAGTCAGTCAAAACATGGATCGGAATTCTTATTCTTGGCTAGACAAAACAAAAAGATGAACAGTCGGAAGCGAAAGTAATAAGAGGGTCACATGAAGCAAAACAAAAATGAATGGCGAGCATTCATCGTTTTGCAGGTTACAGTGTCTTTGAAAAAAAAACTATGGAACGGGTTTTCAGAGGCTATCAGAGGTTTTTAGAGGCTATCAGAACCAAAAATGACGAATTCTGAGCATTTCCTAGAACTCGATCAAACAATTTTTGAAACTAGAAGCTGTCATACGCCGCCGGCGTTGATTGACAGAAAACGTGTGAAGAGCAAAACTTGTAACCGAAAAACTACATGGCGAGCACCAAAACTCAGGCATTGAATTAGAAATTTAAAGCAACAATTATGAGTTTGAAATCAGAAACAAGGCACAAATATTTTTTTTAGAATAGTGTTTTTAAGGCAAAAGTCAACTTCTGGATTTCTGGATTTGGAGAAAAACATCTAGAATTTCACGCGATTCAACAAAATAAAGCAAAACAATGAATGGAGATGAAGAGGAATGAAATAGACAGAGAAGTCAGGGTATGAAGAAAGAACAAACAAAATAAAATAGGATGAAGAAAACTGAGAAGGCATCAAAAACATCCTCTCGCTCATCCAGAAGTTGCATTTCCGGATCAACTATGGGTTTTTGCGGGTGGTGGTCAGCAATATATTCTCAACATATTTTTGGGGCAGAGGTGGCTGTGGTGGTGGTGCCGTGTGAATTTCATCAGTTTTGCAGTATTTCCCATGAGTTCTCCAGTTGGAATCTGGAAGCGAAATGGGAAAAATGAGAATAGCGGATCAGAGGTCACAATTGTTTCAATTTCGTTCGGATTTTTTTTTCCATTTGCAAGATGTGCATGTATACAACCCACTCATTTCCGACAGAAGCCGGCTAATGCACTTTTCAGTCTGAATTGAGAGGTTCAAAATGAGAAAGAACGTGATATTCTTTTTGATACTGATATCATCCAGTTTCCGGAACCGCTTCCGGTGTTAAATCATACAGCAGAAGTATAGAAAAAATAAAAAAATTAAATGTTTAAAAGCAAATCGAATATTGTGTTCTACTTGAGTAAAAAAACTCAACATTGGTTCAAATGAAACTTATGAAACTTTGGGTTGTTTTTTTTCTTTATGAGACTCACTCATTAGGGTACAAATTTGTCTCTCGTGCTCTTCTCCCAACCCACTTTTTTCCTAATCACCCAAGACGTCCTTCTTCATCAAAATCAATGGTCAATTGTATAAAAAACCAAAAACCAAATTCGTTATTGTTTTTTTGCCTTTTTCGGCTTATTTTTTTCATGAGAATTCAGGATCACTGTATTTTTAGATTTATCTGACAAAAAAACATATGTAAGTCAGGGACACATTTCGAAAAATCTAAACAATTTTTGGGATAGGTCTCTAGAGAAAAACAATACATTTTTCTGACATTTGTAATTATCTTTTCGGAGAATAATAGAAAAAAAAGAATAAGAGAAAAATGAACAAAGAAGACAAGGTCCTGTTTATCCTTTTTTTTGCAAGTTAAGGAAATTATCGAAATGGGACACATCCAAAAAAAACGGAAAAATTTGGAAAAAAATGTAATTACAAGAGTAGACTCATGTTTGATGAGGAAGTGACACTATGTAATCATTTTGTTTGTCTTTTGTACTTTCAATTTAGAAGCGAACTTCAGATATTTATTGCTCATTTCTTGACGTAATTTTCATCTTCTAGAATCGATTGCACTTCAAACAAACTTTGGAAAAAAATCGCGAGAAAAAAAAAACAACAATAACAAAAAGAAGAAGACAGAAGAAATAGTTCCGGGATAACAATGAACAACTTTTTTTCAAAAAGCGACATGGCTCATAAAGACTGGTTAATTGGGCGTTTCGAGTTTTTGTAGAAAATGGGAGAGGCAGTTTTTATGGTAGACAAACGACTTGAAATTTCTAGAACAACATGGAAATCCAAATTTATAAATTATAACTTTCATTTATAATTTATTTATAATTTATAATTTTTAGTAAAGGGATTTCGAAAATTATGATATTAAGAAGCTGAACTCAAAAAATAAGAGGGAGAAGCATGTGGTAGGAAATATTATAACAAATAAAACTAGATTCTAAATATGATTTTAAATATTCTTCAATTTGCTATTAGCAGCCTAGCAAGTGTAAATGTTGAAACTAAAAATTTGCGAAATTCTGTAAAATAAAGAATAAAATAAAAAATACGTTTGCAGCTTTCCCAGAACATTCGTTGTTTTTGACATGTTTCACCGGTTTTGCCCTATAACGTCAGGAAAAAAATGGTAACTTTAGATTTTTCCAAAACACAAAGTAGTGAAACATTTTCTGGAGACTTGAGTACTGCAAATAGAGTAGAAAATCTAAAAAAGGGATAGAAAAACTTCTTAGAATCCCAAGAACTCATTTGAATATTTTCATCCGTTTTGGCAATGGTGTGGATGACGGAGAATGGTACTGGAACCTTTCAAAAAAACGCCTCTGGCAAAAAAAGCAGAATTTCGATTCCTTCTTTCTCTCTTTCCCGTTATTTCCTTCTATCCCCCAGACATCACTGTTTTTGATGGATCGCAACCATGGATAATGAAATTATCAGCGGCAAAAATTCCTGCGAAAAATAGAAGGCAGATGCCAACTAACAAGATTATACTGAAAACAGGAGGAAAAGCGGAAAGATGATTTCTGAAGAAACTGAAGAAAAAAAGGAAAAAGAAGAAGAAGGGAAGATTCTGATTGACTGGTGACTGGATAACTAGGTTAGCTCAATTCCTGGTGATCGTCATCATCTTTGCCTATTTTTCGCTCCAGCTTCTTAGTATTTTTTGTTTAAAATGGACTCAGAGAATGGTCAGGTGGAGAAGTAGACAAATTTGATTTTATCCCCCAGAGGGTTTTTTTGAAAAAAAAAACCTTCTTGTCATCTAAATAATAAAAAAATCATATATTCAACGTGAATTGCTTACAAATACCCGATTCTAATAAATCCTGTGAAAATCAACAGTCAGGTTTTTTTCCAAGAACAATCCAATTTTCATCAGCATTCCCATTTTTTCAGCAAATTCAAACAAAAAATAGGATGAGCCATTCGAGAATGAAAACAAAGGAAATCATGCGGAAAATCTGGCACTAGAATTTAGTCCTAGACACGGAACACAGAGCGATTGCTATCCTGGAAGAGTCTTACAATGTTTAAGACAGCAAGAAAAAGAAAATGACGATAGTCAACTTTGTATATGAATGATGTCTCCGTTACTCAAAGATTTCCGGCCATATATGTAAATTGCTGGGCTCCCAGCTTGGAAAAATGCAAAACAAAAGTGGGAAGGTCCAAAAAAAAATGCAGAGAAGGCGGAGCTTAAACAGAAAGTAGGAAGGAAAAACAGTATTTTCAGCAAAAATACATAAAGTGAAAAAGAGCTTGCGCTACAAAATATGTAAAAAGGAAGAAGAGCTTTCTAAAAATCGTAAATTGGGTTGATTCATAAGTTTTTCAGCAAAAACAACAAGATCTCAAAAACCGCCCATTCCTAAAACATTGAGGTAGTTAACAGATGTCAATAGGAAAATTTTTTACATAATTCAACTTTCTAATAACTCAAAACTGACAGGTGAATGAATGAAACGAATGATCTGAACTAGCTCTTTGATAACTGAAAAAAACTGAATTTACTACTTTTTTTGCTACCCTCAAAGTTTTACAATTTCCTGCAGATAATAAAATTTGGAGAATAAAAACTTCAAAAATCACATCTGAATAATGATGTGATCCACTATCAGGAAATGAAATCAATTAGACTTGCACGAAAAAAAAATAATGCACCGGGTCCAATCAGAACGTCACAACTAGGGATTAGGCGCATCTGATAGTGTAATTAAAGAAAAATAAATCAAAAACGAGGGATCAAAAACATGACGGAAGAAAAAACATCAGGAAGTTGGTCTCTGCCCTCAGATACATTTGAAAATGTCGTGGACTTATTCATGAATAACTTTTAGCCCCCGTGGAAGGGTCCGAGAATATTGCGTGACATTGGTTAATAGGTAAGTAGATTTTAATTGAGTTGATATGAGAAAAAAATGTAAAATCATTTGTCATCGGTGGTGTGGCACGTCTAGACAAGTACAAAAAAATGAGTTATACCAGCAGGAGGAGAAGGAAGTATAATAAAACACTTTGAAATACGACCCTAAATTGAGAAAACAAGGTTAGCACGTACGTTCTGACATTTTAGTTTAAGGCAGAACAATCTGGAAACTGTGAAAATCAAAAACAATTTTGGATAATGTTTGCTGATCTTCTGTTCCAAGCACCAAAGAAATTCTCTGGGCTAAAGTGCAGAACCTAGAAATCTGATACCCAAATAACAAACAAAGAAGTTAGTCTGGAAAAAAGACTGGGAAGAAGGATAAGAATCAAAAGGACCACGAAACAGTAGAACCTCTCCCCCCACGTCTTCACTTTGCACCACACGAGAGAAAGGGTAAGAATCTCGGACAACGGGTGAATAAAACATGAAACTCTTGCCTTCTCTTTCAAAAAAAAAGAAAAAGGGAAGAGAGTGAAAAAAGGATTCGTAGGAGTAAAAGAGCAACACCTCCTCCTCCCCCTCCTGTGCCTTTCTTCTGATTTGTTAGAAGGAAAAAATGCGCGAAGGACGAGCGGACGGACGACCTAGACAAATGAACTTGTTCCACAAGCTTTTTTCCTGTTGGTTGGAATTACTTATTGGTAATTCCAGGAAAAATTCATTGAGGTCACGTCACTATTCTGGACGGGGTTGTTAGTATCAAGTATAGGATACAGTACACTGAAGTTAGCATTTGTGAAATTATTTTGAATTGAGAAATATAAAATGCTTCAACTGCCAAAAATCATACAGACGCCTTCAGAAACACGATTTTTGAACTGGAGAAAAATACGAATACTGCGAACTTTATTTTTTTCAAATTTCAAAAACGGTAAGACAAACAATATTGAAGACGTACCAAACAAAATTTTTTAAAGCGTTCTTAAATTCCGTAAGACCTGTGAAACAAGGCTCCTTGACTCTACTTGTGAAAATGTATTACGGTTCCTGGGAAAAATATAAGTGCCACGAGATCTTTCAAACAAAAGCTTTACAGTATCATAATTGCCGATTCTTCAATTGTCAATGAAATACGTCAAATATTGCATTCTTGCAAAATTTCGGAGTTTTAAAAATTAATCTAGAATTATCTCAAAGACATGAATCGTTTGAGAACCGAAATTTTTAAGAATACACTTTTGTAAATGTTATCCAAATTTTCTCTTAAAAATTTAACAGTTTAAAAAATAATAATTATGCAAAATGCAGACAGATCATAGCTAATGGAATTTATTTCTATATTCAATTCTTCAAACTTTAAAGTTCAATAAGATTCCGAAAAAATGAAGCTTGCAAATAAAAACCAAAAATTTCAAAATTTTTAAATTTTTGCACTTTACCAAAAATTTCACAAACTAATTCAAGAAAAGTCCAAACAAACTGAAAACAATTCAAGAAATTATCTTTTTCACTCCTACTCAGCCGGGTCCAGACACAATTCAAAGTATCCAAACATTTTTTCTAACTCCCCCATTCAGTTGTTAGGCCACGAATTTCCCACTCAAGCTAACCAAATTCTTCCAGGAACCCATTGTTAAGCTTCTTTTGAAGCGAGAACAGGAAAAAAGGTCCAAGTCGTTTTTTTTCATGAATGTGTTCCCAGAAAAACGACATATCTAAAAAGAGGTCGTCTTTCTTCATTTTTTTTTCTTCATTTTGGTACGATTTTATCAATTTGCGACCTAAATTTCGCAACTTCGCAACTACTAGTGTCTTCCCCCTTTCGTCCAGTTTGAATTAAACTAGTGGGAGAATTTTGTTTGGCGTGTCTCCACTCTCGCTCTCTCCAACTGGTTTCCCCTTCCATACTTGCCCCCTTTTTCACTAAACACACACGCTATGTCTCTTGTCCGCCCTTATAGCTCAGTGGCAGAGCGCTGGTCTTGTAAACCAGAGGTCCGTAGTTCAATCCTGCGTGGGGGCAAATATTTTTTCTTTTTTTTCTGAATGTTGTATGACTTTCTAAATATACTAAATTGAAAATCGTTTCTCCGAGAGAGGCGAGTTTCCAAATATAATTATGATTTGATCGATCATAATCAAAACCTCAAGTCTAGACAAAAAATTTGGTGAATATATTTTCGGAAAGAACATTAGAACCCAGTCGCCGAATGAATTCTGACATTAGCCTGAAAACCTGGGGGAGGAAGAATAAATGATGATCTACTACGATGTATTCTTCTGGTTTTCTTTATTTTCTAGCTTCGCAAATGACACGGAATTTGTTGGTTTGTTAGTAGGTTTTGAAAGGGAATTGCTAATAAAGGGGTACAAAACAAAAGATGTTCAGAAGGTGGAATATTTTTCTTGCAGGTTCTTCAAAAAAAACTTTTACAAGAGAACCTTAACACTTCGTTTACCCATAATTTGTTGAAAATTACAGGATTGGTGAGGTACAGCTTATCTAGACACCTCTGAAAATCTTTGAACCCGCTTGCTAGTTTCAGCCGAGTTATATCAGTTCCAGCACATCGCCTTTTCAGTGCAAAGCAACGATTTTTTCAACTTCTAGGATGTTTAACTTTCCTATTTTATGTGAAAATGTTCGAAATGTGAAATTTCACAATCGCTGTTTTGAACTAAAAAGGCGACTTTGGGTACTGAAACAGATGTAACTCGGCTGAAATCTACGAAGTCGTTCTAAAATTTTCAGAACTGTCTAGATAGGCTATCCATCACCTACCCTGAATTTCTCATCAAAATCTGGGTTTCGTAAGGTTCCCTTGTTAAACAAGTTTTATGAATACCCCTATGAATACATGGCATGATATAACATCAGTAAAAATTTAGCTAAACATAGATCTGGCACTTGTGAAATCGCCCTTTTTCTATCTACCCGATTCCTGACGTATGGTTTCTGGGAGAAAAGTGGTAAACAGGTGAATTTATATGTCGTAGACTCTAAACTAGACTTCAATGACTATTCTGATCATTGAGAAATTTTCTGCGTCACACTCACAAACTCCACGAAATTCAAAATTCAATGTATTCTGTTCCATGGGGTCATTGGTTGGAATGTTTGAACTGAATTCATCAATCTGACAGAGCATGTCAAACACAACTAGGCATCTAAAAATATGGCGCTCGGACAGCGTTATTAAATTAGTACACGTTCTAAGAATAGCGGATGTAGTGGAAATAAAAAGAGCGGAAGATGCCCAAGGTGTTACTTTCAAACACAAATTGGATCAGAACTAAAAGAAGGATCCGCCTCTCTTCCTTGTTCAGAATACAAAACATGGGGAGTTGAAGTTTCATAAAAGTTCGGGAAGCAAGTTTTGGGAATCAAAAATTTCTAAGAATCAGCTGAAGAATTTCAACTGTGTTCAAAATGTCTCGCACAAAACTAAACATGTTGCTCGGATGACACATTGTTTTCATCAAAAATGGTTTCAACCCGTACTTCATTATTCTTTTGTCTGCTTGACACAGGATTGACAAATGAGAAGATTCTAAAATAGGACACATTTCCCCTACTGTATCAAATATCGTTGACTCATTCTTAATCACGAGAAAAATAAAGGATAGAAGATTCCAGACAGTTTCAATCACATTGAAACATTCATCATGTACAGAAAAATTAAGAATTATTCACAAATTGAGCCTTTAAGAAAATTGTGTGTGAGATTGGAGGATGAGAAAAAAAGGAAGCAAAAGACAAATGAAAGAAGAGGAGAAGAAAAATATGCGTCCATTAATTTAGACTCGATTTCACGATTACGCTCAACACAGCTTCTTCGCAGAGTCAATCTGGATGACGAAACGAAATAAGGGAAGTGTGAAGAATAGGCAAAAAATAGGAGGAAGAGGAAGAAGTAAACCAGAAAAAAAACTCGTAAATAAATACAACATATCTTGTCGACGCCGCAGAGAATGCGACTTTTACTACTTTTGAATTTGGATACTTTTCCAGGAGAAGGCAAGGGAAAATTGAGAAATGCTCGCACTGGTTGACTTCATAATGATTCTTATTATTCCATTTTTCTTGGTGTTTTCTTACTATTTTGAAAATATGTGGGCTATTTTTAACAGATAAATATTCTAAAAAAAGACAGTCAAGTTTAAGCTATGTTTTAGAGACACAGAATTTTAATTCAACCCAAAAAAGTAGCGGTTAAAATAAATATGAAAAACGGAGTTTTTAGCTGATTTTGACCATTTACAGAGTTCTAGAGTTTAATTGTTTTCCCATCACTTTGAAAATTCTGGAGGTTAAAAACAGACCTAGTTTGGAAACTTTGCATTCACAGAATTTTTCGAAAAACCCCAGTTTTCTAGCTATTTTCCGATTTCTGAAGGACCCTTGTATTTTTCGCGTTTCAGTACAAAAACAGGAAACAAGGGAAGTCCTTAAGAAATCGGCGACCAGCTGAAAAACTAGGAATTTTCAAGAAATTCTGTAAATGAAAATTTTTCAATCTAAGTTTTACTATTTCAACATTTTCAAAGTGATCGGACACTTGACAGCCGAGTTTCAGACCCCTGAAACTAGTCAAAACCAACTGAAAACATGTTTTTGTCTTATTGACCGGTACTGTATTTCAATGTTCAGAAAATTGACTAACATAAAAAACAAATCCTAGTCGAAAAATCGAAAAAACTCAGAGTTGAAATTTTGGTTCATGTAAAACAAAGTCAACTTTGACTATTTATTTTCCCCAAAATTATTCATCATAAACTCATAACCTTCCCCACCCCCAAAAATAGAAAAAAATCTTCAGGCACATTTCTTTGAGAGAGAATAGTCTCAATCTCACACCAAATTCAACAATCTAATGAATATATCATAGAAGGCTTTTAGAGTCCCATCTTATGATTTTTGAGGTAAGAATATCTTCTTTTGGAAAACCAAAAATGCCAATGAATTGGAGGGAAGTAAGTTTTTAAAAAATGGCGCGATTAAATTTGGAAACAATGGAAACTCCCTTGTCTATAAACGAGGACCACCCAACAAACATTTGAAAGTCATCATCCACAATGATCGTTGTTATTTTTATGAAAAGCAATGTTTCAGGGTCAGGGGGTCCCGTGTGTGGAAAACTTTAATTGGCTCCACTTTCTTCCTTCTTCTCCTTTTATTATGCATGTATGTATATATTCGACTCGTACTTCTTTCTCACATGTGCGCATCATTAGTGTATTGGAAAGGATGAGTGGGAATAAAAAGATGGACAAAGATAGGAAAGCGCCGGTGAGCGAAAAAAAGAAGTTATAACTTGTGTTATTTAATTCCGAAAAGTGAAGCACTTTAGATGGATGGGACATGAGACGTAGTGTCGATCTTTGAGAGCTTCAGAATTATGCTTTTTTGAACAAAATTTTGACTACGTCATGTTGGTGTTGAGATGGAGACTTCGAAAACGAAAGCTTGATCTATTTCTAAAACAGATCTCAGTATTGAATATTTCAGAACTTTTTGACTTCATTCATATGCAGAGATTTTCATCCAACCTCTTTAGTACATTGAGCAATTACTATTTCCCTCTGTCAAAACGACAAAAATGGATATGGCCAGGGATTTCAAGCGCGAAATTCGAAAAAAAGCGGCAAACGAGGACTAATGCCGAGAACAGGAAACACGACTCCCACGAGTAAACCTCCTACGGTGTTGGCTTCATTTTTCTTCTTTGGCGCTGAATATTCTGGTTCCTAAAAGGGTAATTCTCCGAATATTTCGAAAAATGGGCTGGGAGGAGATGAAAGATTGTTTAGAGAAACAGTGAGTTACATGTGCAATAATGTATAGTACCGGAAAAAGATATCATACTATAACATTTTTACTGGAAGGTAGTCAACTTTGCAATCGTGAAAAGTAATCCCGGATTCGTTTAATAGTTTTTTTCAGGATTTTTCAGAATGTGCTGAACAAAATTGCTTTCTATGCATTCTTTTTGATTCAACAGAAAATTGAGTATTCGTTTATTCAATAATTAAATACAATACAGTTCAAACCAGAAAATGCTTATATGTAATACATTTAATTAGTTGCATTCCAGCATCTAAACAGATTTCTCCTTGAAGTAGTTTGCTCTACTGTTTCGGTTATTAATGAATTAGCCTTGTAATACTTTCCATTCATTTTATCTATTCTCTTCCTATCTAACAATTCTATGGACCGACGAATCTTTTCAAACCTACGTTTAAAAACTTTTCGAGTCGCTGGAAATTGTTTATCCAGATATGCTTTCGCAGGAGTTAAATTGTGTTCATAATTGTAGTCATCATCAAGGCTTCTCATTACGTCGCGCGGTTCTTTGAGATCGTAATAGGCCTGAATGGTAGGCGCTGATGCAAGATCCAAGTCACTGGGATCCGTGTTGTTGTAAGGTTTCCATGGAGGCAGTGGCTCGAGATTCAGCGTCGACCGTAACTCCGTTAAACCTATGGTTAACAGAAACTCTGGGTTCAATACACTGCCAAGTGTTCGAGCTATGGAACGGCGAACCGTGTAGCGTGTTAGCTGCTCGTGATTGGCACCGCTGAAGCAGGATTCAGCAATTCTTGTGAGGTCAGCGCCAAAAGTATTGTGTACCAGACTTGTGGTCGTTGGTGTAGAAATGGAACCTAAAAGGTACTCATTTAGTTTAAAGATTCTGAGCCATTAAGACGGTCATACCTGCTTGTACATTGGTGCAAAGGCTGATACATACTGAGAATATTACCAAAATTATCATTCGCCTGGAAATATTACATGGAAATATATAGCGTATCTAAGAGACATACAAGTAAACGAGACCAATATGAACTAAAACTAACAACGTATCAATATTTCTGTATTATAAGGATAATTTGTAATATGAGAATGATAATATGGCAAGTGATTATTAACAGCAACCAGGTTCCTATGAAGAAAAAAAGAAACAAATAAGGAGGCATTTGATTGACCTATTTCTCGCTCAAATCAATTTTGGGGATTGTGCCGTTGGCTTCAAACAAAATTTCCGCTCCTGACACATTAACAAGCCCGTTTGGAAACAAATAGAGAGACACGGGTATGAGAATATGAGCGCTCTTCTAGAAAATTAGATCGAAACAACATAAGGTAGACCAAAGTATATTAATTATGAAGGTATGCATAGAATGCAACAGACTGCGCCGAAGGTATCCTGAACGCCACTATTTGCTGAACGAAACGCAAAAGGGCGGTAGTGCTTAAGACGCGGACCCAAATTCATTTCGGCGAATTTCATAATATTCGAATTGCCGGATTTGTACGAAATGAATCACCATCCGGTTATATAAAACACGCTCGTACGCAAATGTTCTGTGTCTCGCCACGAAACAATATTATTTTTATTAGTAACACGATACAGATGCGAACATAAATTCATTTTTATCCAGATGTACGTATTGCAATGACTTCTATTTGCTCAGAGGTCTATTTTTTTTAATTTTTCTAAAAGTTTAAATTATTCAATATGATCACATATATTGTTCTGAATCCTGTTTGGATTGAAGATCTAATATTCTCCTAATTTTCATGTAAGTTCTCTTTTCGTTATCAGCACGAGCCTGAGCAATAATTTTCTGAACGTGTTACAACTTTCGCAACTCACATCCTTCCCTCTTGAAGCGAATTAAAAAAACTTTGAAAATGGCGGAATAGGGTTTACAGAGTCTAGGCCAGTAAAATCAATCGGACGTAACTCGCTTCAAAATCAAAATTTTCGAATTTTGAAAAATGGTTTAGACACGTCAACACGAATGAAGAATTTCAGAATTTGTCTCGAACCTCTCGTTGTCTCTCGTTTCGTCCCAATACCAACGAAGCCGGGAAAATTCAGAAGGAGCGCGCTTCATTAGAGCAATATAAAACCGATAAGTGTTCGGCGGAAAAAGTATTTATTGAATATTTGTCCACGAAAAATCGGGCGTTTTTCAATGATTTTGACAGAGGGAAAACAGCAGATTGGTGATGCCACGGTGCAGTCCCAGGTAATACACTAGAAATACTACAAACTAAAAAACGAATCTAGTCAACTTGACTCAAAACAGTCCCACTTAAAAAATTCTTTTTTGGAAACTACAAACTACAAAACACTATTTTCAGGAACTTCTTAAATCTGAATCGCAGCCACCTACACACTCAACATATCGGTCGTTCTGGATGTGAAAAAATCCATTCAGTACATTAACAAAGCATTCTGCAATAAGTGATTTATTTTTGTGTTTTCTCAATCATTTCTATCCATGAAAATTCCCCCATGATTATTACCGGTTTTCCCCTCAAATAATTTGCAATTCTCTTTCATTCGATGTATTTCAATAAATTGAATAACACTTTGATTTTGTTTAGCTGAGTCCACATCAGTTTTCAGATCTCAAAAATGCTAGCTTTGAAGCGAGTTACGACCGGTTCAGTTTCGTGGCCTAAAAATTCTAACACAACGAATATAATGTCACATTCTGTATCATTTGGTTCCATTTGTTTTGTCGAGTCTAAATCAATTTTCAACACTCGAAAATGTTGATTTTGAAGCGAGTTCCGACCGATTGAGTTTGGTGGCCTCGAATTTCAGATTTTTAGGCCATTGAATACCAATGACCTGAATCGTTTCAAAATTGAATTTTCCGAGTTTTAAAAAATGTTTAGACACACTGAGACAATTGGAACGAATTGATTTAAAATAGGACGGGCTACATTTTCAAATATTTGGTTTTCTAGGTCACCATTTTCCACATTTTCTAGAGTTCACAGAATTATCGTATTCTAAACTGAACGTTTTCAGTTTTTCGAAACCCACTTTTAGGGTTACAACTTGTTTTGTAAATTGTGTATGCTTCATAGATCTCAAAATTCCTCAAAACTTCTACCACATTTTTTAATTCCATCACAAAAATTACTTATTGCGAAATCTCCTTCACCAGTTTTGTTTTCCATCAAGTACAAGACGAACGGAAAGTGAAAATGTTATCTGGTCGCGCGATTTGTCATACACATAAAGAAACATCTGTTCCTCTTATTCATCTTTGGTTTTTGAGATTATGATGCAACTTCGCTCTTCTGAACATTTTTGAAAACACATGCAATGCATTGGCATGTATTTTGATTATTTCTCTATCATTCAGAATCAAATGGAAATTTTTGGTGTTTTGCGACATTTTGTTTGGTTTTAAACCTGACCCAATTTTTCTTCATTTTTACAAAAATATTTTGATTGTCATTGAAAATTTATTGATCTAAATTCATCTGAGCTAATTAAACGAAAAAGTAGTAAATATTATTTTATTGATCTCGTCCACTGAAATTTAGAAAATTAGGTATGAAGTTAAATTAGTTTCGTGGTAGTTTTTTATTCCATTTGAGCTGTCAGCCGCTTATCAAGTAAATTTTCTTTTTTTTTTTCGTGACCCCGCTTCTCATTCCAAATACAAAAAAAAACAGCTCACTACAAAAAGTGTCTGAATCTCGAGGGCTTAATCGCAGCAAGATGTAAATAGTATTGGAGCACTTTGACAAATGAGTATTCGTGATCGGATGGTTTCTATGACCTTCTCGTTTGTCGCTTTTGCATTTTCTACTCTTCGGCGGTCATAAAATTCGTGCTACAAATTTCGTCCATTACGAGATTGCTCCTTTTCGGGACACCGAGAGCTCACTTTTCTTACTGAGCTTACTTTTGTGATTTGATAAAAAATCAGTTCTAAGTGAGACTCATATAGCAGTCAAATTCTATGGTTTTCTTATATTTCAAACTTAGATGATTTCTTTCTTCGAGAATTTGAGTATGACCTTTTGAACCATGTGTTTTCATTTTCATGAAAATCTGATTGCTTTTTCTGCTCCAGCACTAATTACTAGTTACCGCAAAGGCTGTTTCCCAGGGTTTCCGTGTCCTTATGAGCAAAAACACCATGGAGATTGTTCAAACCCCCTCCTGACTCTCTTCTTTTGATTTTTTTCATTTTCATCATTTTCTAATATTTTGTGTACGACTGCATATTTGTCTCTGGTTACCCTACATCTAGATATTCTACATATAAATTCATACAGCCTCTCAAAAAGTAGCTTTCTTGTGGCTGAATCACATGGCACTTATTGCTGAATCATGAGTGCATGGTCTCTAGTACTTTCTTTTGCTGATCAATATCTGTCTATTTCTCTGACTCTCTGCATATATTCTACGGACCATACGCCCTCTCTCGTGTCTCGTATGCCTTCTTTCTGGCTACGCGCAAAGCTATTTCGCAAGTTGTTATGCTGGTTTCTTCGTTTCTGCTGCTTCCAGATCTTCTATGTCATCGTAATGTTCAAGATTTTTAAATTCCAGAATGTCACACAAGGAGCCAAAGAAAGAAAAATTTATCGAAACTGATGGGAGTGGAAACGAATCTAATGTGACCGAAACTGGAGATGAGTTCCTCAAGTGAGATTATTGAGTTTAAAGTAGCCTCTTTGAAAATTAGTTTTTCAGGAAAATGAAGAAAGCTCTAGAGGAAACAAGAAAAGATTCAGACAGTGTGTTTCCTGCAACCACGGAATCCAGAAGGTACGTATTTGTCTACTTAGTCTCAATTTTTGAAAATGTTTCCAGATTTGTTTTGTTTTCTCCATCAAATGAAAAGAAGCTATTAATTGACCAAGAAACTTTTAATAGTCAAATGAAGAAGTTGTCGTTTTTAGTGAAGAAAAGCTCGATTGATTATTCGTGCAACAATGGGTAAATAATAATAGTTCAGGACTTATGTATCTTTTTTTTTGTAGGTCTAAACAATGTTCTTCAGCTTCACCGCCTGGATTCTTTTCTTACCCATCTTCGGATGAATCTTCCGGTGAAGAAAATGAATCTTACACCGAAGATAGCGAATCCGAAACTGAGTGAGTCAAAATATTGTTAAGAATTTTCAGTTTGAGAGACTTACATGTTAGGGTTCAATTTATATACTCACAAACTTTCCAGAAGTGCTCGAATTGCCCCGATCTATCCGGCGCCAGACCGTCCCCCAGGAATTCTCACCACTGCTTTCCAATCAGAAGAAAGTAATGCGCCATCTTCTTCATCGCCGGAAGATAATTCCGTACGTCGTCAACAATCGTCCAGCCCAAGAAACGTCGTCATCCCGCCTTTGCTTGTCAGTGAGACACCAAACAATCTCCATAGAAGAAACAACGTTTCACAGTTTCCACCACCAGCGAATGATCGGTAAGATGGTTTTTATCTGAAGTCATAGCAAAACAAGGTGCTTGATAATCTGTCTTATATCATTGATAATCTAGAAGAATTGTTCTCAAGCGTTACAGTTGAGCCAATTCATCTCGATTCTTGTGAGAGGTATCAAATCATGCTCCACTGACAACAATTTTTTGGAATAATAGTAATTGTCTTGTCAGCTAAGAAATTTAGATTTATCTTGAGAAATTGACAAATTGGCACAACGTTGACGGACATTTCCTTAGAGTTATCATGGTGCTCGATTTGACACAAAAAACCTACGAAGACTAGAGCCGTGGTTGAAAGATTTTACGTAATATTCGCATTTTTCTTGATATTCAAAAATGGCTGATTTTTCGAAATAAGATGATTTTATTCAAAATAGGAAAAATCAATTTTGAAGTTTCAAAAAAATAGACTTCTCAAGCTGTTGTGACAGTCTAGGTCTATTTGTAAATCTAACTACATTTTGTAACCAGTTAAATTCAATTTCCTTCTACCGATGAGAGGATTCTGTTAATTCACTGAAATCTTGCAATAGAAGCAAAAACTCGTGTAAAGAGTCTAGGAAAACTTTATATTATATCTTTCATTGTTTTACATTTTTAGACTCTCCCAATTTCAACTTTCGACTGACAGTTCGCCTCCATCGTATTCGGGTCCGGTAGAAGTCCCGCCACTGGACACGATCAAATCTAGACTCGAAAGTCATTTACTGATGCTGTACTATTCGAAGAGAAGCAACCAGCCAGGCAGCGAAGGTAGATTTCTGTACCCAACTTTCATAACTCAATCAGAAATTTCAGGTTTTGATCAGATGCTAGAAGTATATAAGGAGATCATTCTAACAATCCTCTACATGGAAGAGGGAATGACGCCGCAAGAAGAAGTGGACAATTTAGAAATCGCCAGATTTTTTGTCTACGACCGTCTCGCTGATTTGGAGGATTCAGAAGAAGTGCTTACACTAGCCGTTTATAAAGTTATGAATGAGTATCTCAAAGAAAAGACAAGAACAGTAGCATTCAATATGCTTGTTCTGGAGTTAATCCACTTGGAGAAAATCATCAGACAGAAGAGTAAAGATGATTATGCTGAAACCGAAAGAAATCTCTTCTCCGATATTGTGTTGTGTTAGAATATTTTTCCTTTGTGGTCTTAAGTTTTGAAATCTTCTTCTCGAATAATTTGTATTTCATTGTTAAACGTTCTCTTCGCATTCTTAATTCCATCAAGTTAGAATCTTCCACATTCTTTCTCAATCCCCTAATTCCAGCTCTCTCTCTCTCGTTACTAACATTTCTCTAGTTGAAAATCATTTCAAATGATCACTCAGCATATTATTCTCGTTTTATGTATTCTCAGATAAAGGATGGACAAGTAAGTAAAAAAGCGGGAAGAAGAAAAAGAAGAATATATCAGAATGGAAAAGCGGGTACTGTAGAAAAAATGTGAAACGTAGCTGGAGCAAATGGTTTAGGAGATTAATCAAAGTAGAAACAAGGGGACATGTGGGATTTTGAGAAAATAATATAAATGATGAATAATATAGGTTCAGGGAAGGGGTATGCAAAATTTTTTGATTTTTTCATTTATTTTGTTGGTGATGAGTCAATGCAAAAAAGAGATGTGAGAGTCAAGTTCAGTAAAATAAGAAAAAATGGCGAGAAGTCATGAGCGAAGCAGCTACAGAAATGAAATCAAAAAGGGCAAAAGAAAAATTAGGTTACAAACTCTGAAGAGCACAGAAAAATGGGATTATGAGTGGGGTCGTCTAAGATTTGTAAAAGAAGAGAGGATATGAGAAACTACAGAGATGTACGGTAAAGGATAAGTAGTAATCTAACAGGTAAATCGGAACACGTGAACGAACGATAGGTTTTTATTATTGTATTTAGTGTTTGTATCCTTCTTTGCAACAAATCATCGCTGAGTTGGAGATCCCCACCGCGAGACGCACATCTGGATTTTTGGTGGGCAAACTGGCCAAAAACAGGTTGCGCATAGTCGGAGGCAAGTATCCACTGAAACTACGAAACTATTGAAAAGAGTAGGATATCTTAGATGCTCACTTCTTCTCCCGGAAGGACTTCTCGCTTTCGTACTCCACGTATTCCAAATCTTTCAATGCTTCCTGTGGATTCCAGTTACCATTTAAAAGTTTAATGTAAAGCTTATCCGGGATATCGCCCGCTAGTTTCATCTGGAAACTGTTTGTGAATGCTGACAAAAACTTAACAGCATACCTGGAAAAATGTATTAAGCCCCTGATTTGTGACTCTTTCGACATTCGCTTCTAATTGTACATTGGCTATATCGAGAAGCGTCTCGTCGGTGAGTCCACATGGTCCTTTCAGCCTCACCATAGGACACTTGCGAACTTGCTCCATTTCAAAGATTCCCGGATACTCTTCGCAGCATTCCAAGGTGAGCGTAACAAGTACTGGGCGATGAAGATTCAAAATTTCAACAATATTATGGTAGGAGTCCATAGTGACTCTGAGGCTATGGGACGTAATAGTGTGAACACATTTGCTCAGGTCCATCTCTCCTACCTGAACAGAATTACATCGATGATATTTCACATTTCCTAGATTACCTGCGCAGAGCGATAGCTTGTGAATTCTGAATCCCAGAGACGAAGTTTCTGGCCTAGAAGTTCACGTAAATGCTCCATCGCCATATTTCGACCTTGGAACACGACTTCAGAATTGGTTCCCATATGAACACGGGATTCGTTCTCGCTTCTGATTGAAGCACTATCCTCTCGTTCTCTGTACTTCCGCCTGTAGTTATCCAGTAAGATGGTGTATTTCTGGAAATGAAAAATGGCTCTCAGCCTAGGTTCAGCATGGGTTCTTACGTTCTTATAGCTCTCCTCATTCAGATCATGTCGAAATTGGAAGAAATCAGCAATGATTTCCCTGTAAAGTCCCTTATTATGTGATTTCAAAAGATCATACTTCTTATGGATAAAGCTATATACGTTTACTTCATTTCACATTTCCTGAAATGTGCCCCCGCACTAATTAGTCCGATTATACCTTACTTTCTTTTAATCTATCCCTTTTTTTTCCTCTCCCTCACTTACCCTTGCTCTCCTCTCCTAAAACTGCTCAGCGAGGTTACCGGCCGTGACTTTGGTGGTGTCGGAATCTCATCTACATAAATACTGTCGCTCATCACTCGATTATGATTGCGAAAACCGATACGCCAAAGAACCAACGCGGCCTTCTCCGGAGTATGCTCCTCATAATCACTTTCTTCATCCTCGGGCTCCGTGATAACACCTCCATCATCTGGCACGTAGTCTGGTGGGAGATTGTTCATAGGTATCCTTGGGAAGCCGATGTACTCGTTTGACTCAGTTTCAGAGTCTCGCAACAAATCGTCCTCTTCTTCCATCTCGTCCTCAGCCAGATAGTTCTCTAAATCATCTGCGCCATCCTCCACTCCCAGTCCAGGTTTAGCCTCGGTTCCCTCGAACGTCTCTTTGGCATCGTGAAAATGCTCCGTGGCATCTTTGAACTCCTCCGTGACATCCTCGTACTCATCATTGTCATCATCGAAGTCCTCTCCTTTGTTTTTGCATACTTCTTTCCCGTCCTTGCTCACTTCTTTCTTCTCGTTGATTGCTACCTTCTCCATAATCTTTATTATACTCTTCATATCACCCAGTTTGTTTCCTTTCACCGTATCCGTCGCGGCCTGCTCAATTGCATCCTGGAACTCCTGTACTGCATTCTGATCCATGGCTCTCAACAGAAGCAGCAACGGCGACACACGGCAAAACTGAAAAGAGAGAAAGAAGTTACCGGAAAAAGTGACGTTGAAGCAAAAAGCAAAGACAAAGGAAGATCGAGAAGGAAGGAAGCGAACAGAGAGTGTCATTTACACAAGCAACTCTCTATACACTGTCTGGAAGAAGAAAAAAAGATTTTTTTTTTGAACTGGGAGGCGCCGAGCAACACAAAAAGAATACGTGACTTCTTGTTGGCGAATAGGAAAAAAATCGGGAGAGTGCTTGAGACTTCCCCCGGAATCTATGGAAACCAGCGGCGGGAAAAGACGGCTGCTGGTAAGGCCGAAATTGAAAAAGAATGAAACGCCTTAGCTCTCTGAGAGTACAGCATCAGGTGGGCGGGGCTTCGAGCCTTGAGATAGAAGGCGGAGACCTGAAAATGTCCGACAAAAAGACCAAGTTAGACGCAGAGTGCAAGTCAAGGAAAGCATACGGTAGAAAAGTCATCAAACAAAGGCTCTACCCTTTTAACGAAATGAATTCATCAGGCGACAATTTTTTTGTTCGGCTGTCGTTTCATACCACCAGAAGCAATTGAAGACGCACGCACGCAATGAGAAGAGACCAAAATCCAAAAAAAAGAAGACGTTTTAAGTACAAGGCGTTCGAGTAAAGAGCAATGAAGAATGGGAGGGCATGGAAGAGAGTCCTACATTTTTGAGAATGCGAATGCTTAGAAAAAAAATGGGAGGAAGAGAACTCATTGAGTCACTCAAAGAGGCACTTGTTTAATATAGGTTGACACGCAAGCCCATAAATGAATCTAAAGTGTTGGTTGATTGAAATGAAAAACTACTAATTCATCGTCGCAAGGAACAGGAACAAATGGATGGTTGATTGCTGGAATAATTGAAAGGATCTGGAGAATTTCAGGGAAGTATAAGGAAGTATGGTGTTTGGTGACGTGAAAGGATCTAATGACGGGGTTGATATTCGGCTAGACGATGATACTATGATAATTGTTATCACGCGCCACAATTATTTCTGTGGTTTGAGCTCTGAGCTAATCACGCGGTTGAAGTCAGGAGTTGTTTCCCAGAAGAGGGATAGTCATATTGAAATGTCAAAATAAGTCTAGTTGACGTCGTCAAGGTGAGGGGGGACTTGCGGATGGAGAGACCATAGCAAAATTGACTTTTCTGAAAAAAAATTCTAGATATGTTTGCAGGAAGATGAATTTAAAACAAGAAATCAAACAGTTGGGACCAACTTCTTTTCAACTGATACATTCAGTAGCAAAAGGCCATACAGAACATGTTAGTCGAAAACGGTCAACTGTGTGTATTCATTCGGTCTGGAAATTTCTAGAATTATAAACTTCTAGAATTATAAAGTCATTATCCAAAATTTTTAAAGTGATCAGGAACTTCGCAGCCTAGCTCTAGGCTCTTGTGAATCATCAAAATGACCGAAAATTAACTGAAAATATGATTTTGTATATCATATCCTATTGACCGGTACTGTATGCGCGACACCAAAAGTTGATAATTACCCAAAATATTGACTCGAGATTTTCTATTATCAACTTATCACCTTTTGAATGCTTATTAACTTACCACCTTTTGAATGAAAAAAGTTTGAACGTCTACCATGAACATGAACAAAGCTAAGGTCGCTCAAACGGTCCCGACTCCAAACTCACGAAAAATCAAAAAATGTCTCACCATTTGAATAGACCTTCACGAGGGCCGCTATAATTTTGGGATTTTTCTAGATAGTCTGTGTACTACTATTTACAATAGGTTTCATCCGAATCCCCGGGTAACAGTTGGGAGGCTTCCTGTGTTAGAAGTAACGAAAATTAACTATTATACTACAAATTATACTTCTATATTTGGCTCATGATTCCAGAAATTATCAGAACAACCAGGTTGTTTATTGGCCAGTACTGTACACTCATTCAAAAAAAACCTATCCGGAAGTAATGTAATTTTTTTTTGCACGCTTACCAAAGGGTCCTTATTCGTCATCCGTCATCTCAACAACAACAACACTTTACTCAATTTTCCTGCTCATTGACGTACCCAAGTATCGCATAACATACGAGGAGGATAGCATCATATATTCACTACCCCTAATCAAGACGAGAATTCTCAGATTTCGTGTATCCGGAACCTGAATACCTCATTTCGGAAGAGTATCGACCAGAACGGGAATTCAGAGATTTGGAGAAGAGGATTGACGTCTAAAAATTTTTGTATTTGTATCTGTAAAAATCTTCTCAAAAACAACAAAAATATTTACGACTTCAACTCTACTATATGTATACGAAAATCTGAGGAACATATGACTAGATAGTCACACGTGCCAATTGTATAGATTGAACTTTAGAACAGCTGTGATTGCTCGCATGAGCCAAGAGGGAAAAAGTTGGTCACACTACAATCAGTTTTAGATTTATGGCATGACAAGTCTAAATATACACATAGTGTGTATGATTTACGACAGGTAGTACGAAATGTACAAATTGGAAAAGTTAGACACGACAAGAGGAGTCTGGAGCACTAAAATGGATACTAGAGCTTTCCTCTTCGCCTTTAAATTTATGACATATTCTTTTCTTCATCTTCAAAATGGCCAAAACATATTACGCATTTCTTTTCTTTTTCCACGTCTACCAGAGAAGAAGTGCCGGCACCACTTGCTTTATTGTGCTTCTTCTTCTTCTTCGTCTTCTTTTCTCATCTCAATCGGGGAAAAAAGAAGCAAACACGAAAGAAGTAAAAGAAACGGCAGAAGCGGACGATGGGCTTTGTAGATTTCTATCTAGAAGAGGAAAGATTACTCAAAAAAAAGAAGAACCTTCATGGCGGGAGGAGAAGGAACTCGGTCCAAGATTGATGAAGCAAGGAAGGGAGTAGCTGATGGTTGTTGTTGAAGAGATTTTGGCGGCGGTTCGTTTGGAAAAGTGCATCAGATTGATGAAAGAAGTTGGCAAAGCGAGGGAGACTTAAGTTTATTTGGTTTTTAAAATCAAAAATAGAGAGACCCTGATATGTTAAATTAGACAATGATATAAGAAAGACTCAATAATAGTGGTATACGCGTCTGGGTTCCATCTCCACATCAAAATGCAAAGCAAAAAAGATTCTTGTTTTCAAACCTCATAAAGGATTGCTACTTTTTCTCATTAAGCAAGTCGGAAATAGAAAAATGGCGGCGCTAGGATAAGATGAATGTCTGAGTGCTGCTGCTGGCTACGTGAATTTTCTTGGTGTTGAAGACCTAGCAGAGGCTGAAATTCACACGATATCCGGGGAAGTGATATTGGCATAATGCTCATTATATAGATCTCATATTTCTGAAAGTTTCCGGGTTCACTTCAAAAGTGTTTCAAAATATTTTCAAAACTTTTGAATAGATTCTTGATTAGTTCGTAGATACTTACACTTTTGCGGATATTGCCACTTTGCAAATTTTGCACTTTTTGAGCTACGATTCAGAATTGTTCTCTGAATCTCCCAAAAAACCACTAATTGCAAGGCATATACTTCAGAAAATGATGGTTTTTGAAAGGCTATCGAGCAGTGTCCTTCGAATGCACTTTTGGCTTGATTTATTGCTCCCGGAAACAATAATGTGAAGCTACCGCATGTCCAAAGCGGAATGCAAAAACGACCTCATTTGACATTTACTCTGTCAGTTATGATGGGGAAAACAGACGAATGAGAAAGAGAACAGGAGGGAAACGATATTCTTATTCGGTAGAGAAAATCATCAGGCTCAATTTGTGACCTCTGACGATAGAGGTGAAGAATGGGAGACTACAGGAGACAAAAAACCGATTAACGGTCGGAGCTGCGCCGTGGGGGTGAATTATCCTATCTGGCGATTGGTGCCTGTGGATCTACAATTAGTGCATCTTCCTGTTGAAGACACCGGAGTCAAAGGATGAGGGAGGAGAATGGCGCGGAGGCGACCTTGAGTCCCAAATTGAGGAGAACAGGGGCTACCATTAATCTTTCAGCGGTGGTCGTAAAAGCGGTCATGCTGCGTGAAAACTGCACACTGACTGTTTTTCTTTCCATCTCAAACACTGCTTGCTTTTGTTCGGATACGGATTTTAACCACCGGGTAGTACACCGTTCAGTTTGAGACATGGATTTTTCTAACGAACACCTGGCCAGAAGAGAAAATGGGGAATTGAAGAAGAAAGGAAATTGTGAGGTTTATGTTACCCCTGAAAGATGGAAAATGAAGAATGGTAACTGAGGAAAACTGGAATTCGAATTTTTTCGAAGGAGGCAGTTTCGGTTCGGACGCATTAGTTACAATTAAGAACATCATGCGCCTTCTATCGAGATCCAAGACCAACAGTAGTTTAGGAGTAGCAGACGTCGTAAAACAGGAAAAAAGGAAGACCCATCATACGGTATAGTGTAAAAAAAATCTTTTCTAGACGAACTTTCAAAAAGCGAGTGCCCCGGAAACATTCCTGCGCCTCGAGACCAGGAATCGAGACTAGGAACAATATTCAATTGAATCGTGAAAAAATTTATTGTCGTTTGTGCCCTCCCATGTTGTGAAGTCATGGTGGGCCCATCTGGACAATTTGATGCGATACTCTCGTTTTTCGCTATTTTGCGAACAAAATAAGAGACAGCATATGGAATGCTCAATAGTTCGTCCGTCCGAGGATGATGATGATCAAAAATCGCTTCGAAACAATTCCTAAGTTTGACGAGATGATGAGGTTCAGGCGCCGACGAAAAAGGTTGTAGAGAAAACGGAAAGAAAAGATAGGACCAGTTGTTTTTCATGAACTTGTTGTCAGAAAATCGCCCTCTCTCCTCTTCCTCCGCGCTCACAACCGCGCCTTTGATGGAGACGCGACGGCATTACCGTTCGCAATTAGTTTCTCATTTTAGTTTTTTTTCTCTATAATCGCGTCCGATATATCATTCAAGAGCGACGGCGACGGCCAATCCAACCTATTCTTTTCCTTTCCTTTAGAGGACTGACCCCAAATCGTCATAATTGCTGTTGAAACGATGCGTATAGAAATAAATAGGAGGAAACCCCAGAAGAAAAAAAAATCAGGAACACTGGGGAGTTTCTAGTTGGGCAAATCAAAGTTCGGATAGAAATGAAAACATTGATTGAAGTTTTGAGGATTGTTGTCAAGGGAGCCTGTCAAACAAAAATACATTTCTTGAAGAAAAGTTTTGAGATGCTATCTTTACGGGAAGGGGGAGCTTTAAGCTCTAGTCAATGTTTTGGACCATTTGTTTGTTTTTTTGTGAAATTTCTAGGACTATCAGAAATTCCAAAACAAAAAAACCGAAAAACGTGGAGGAAATTCAAAAAAGTGTTTCAATTCAGATTTTACAAAAAAAACCAACATTTCAGACATTAAAAAAATAATCTAGAGAATTGGAACTTTCCATTAGAAGTAGCAATCAAAAAAAATTCTAGAGTATTTTTTCTGAATTTTCTGAAACTTTCTGTTTTTCAATAAAATGTTTGAGTTTCTTGGATTTTTGGAATTTCAATTTTTTGGTTATAGAGACTCGTATGACTATCAGAAGTTCCAAAAATTTTAAAAATTACTGGAGAATTCAAAAATTCAAAGACTCAATTTAATTCAGATTTTATGAATTGAGTTATAGGAAGTTTTAAAAAATTCGAAAAAAACAGAAATTCGGAAATTTCCAAAAAATATATACTTCGAATTAAAACTTTTTTCAAATTTTTAAAATTGTTTTGTATTTTTTGTTTGTAAAACTTGAATTTAACAAAAATTTTTAAATTCTAAGGGCCAAAATAATCAAATAGAGCCGAACTCTGTTCAAACATCAAAACGAAAGATATAAAACTTGCGCATTTTTCCCAAAACATTTTGTCATTTGAGATATTCTAGAAAAGGCTCCTGCTTCTAAAGTTTCCCACGTACAGAGAAACTAATCTGTTCTCAATATCTGCGTGCAACAGAAACTCTCATATTTTTTCTTATTTTTCTTTTTTCTTCCTATCCAATACCAAATAAGACAAAAGGGCTCATGATCAAAAATCTAATTTCCTAGTGGATTTGCACAAGCTTTATAATGCGGTCCCCAACGGACGTCTCTCATTATTTTTTGACTTCTTTTCCGACCCGCCTGGCTGTCTGCTGCAACATTCTTTATTTCGCAATCCCTTCAAACGAGAACAGAAAAAACACAAAAAAAAGAATTATGAAATGATTTCAGGGATTTCAGGGAAAATTGGAAATCGTATAGTACCCAAAAAAACAAAAGCAGCAGTCAAAGTCAGTTGGCGTCGCTTGTCATAAGAGCCAATAACTTATGTACGTCCAAAAAAAGAGACTAATCAAATTATAGTCGAGATACTCTAGAATTTTCGGAGGGAACAGAACAACAAAACATTTCTTGTGATTTTTTGAATCTGTCATGGAAGACATAAAATAACTTTTTTGAAATATTTTCTTCAAAACTACCGTACTCGTTGAATGGAGAAAATCTAGGTTTTGATGACTTTGAAACAACTTTTTGCGGATTCTCATTATGAATCAACTTCGTTTCAGAAATAACTAACCTACAAATCAACTAATTTGTTGTCAGCCATTGTCAACCCAGCAAACTCTGAAAACTGCACGGCTATTCAAAAGTGATAGACCCCTATATGCCACTCAAAAGAGCGTATCTTATCAGTAAAGACGACAAAACTAAAGTGTTTAGCGCTAACGCACTCTTTGTATATTTGGAACGTTATCGAGGCCGCCATATTTCTTTTGGTAAGACAATGGAGAACTTTGCTCTGAAGAATCTACTGGAAAAAACAGAAACTAAAATGTAAAATGATTTTAGTGATACTGGTTGTAAACGTTGAATCATCTGGAGCACTTAAAATGATTCGATTTGTGAAAAATTGTTTCAAAATTTTTTGTACTGAGAAAAAAAATTGACAGCTGTCAATTGGTCATCAGAATACAAACAAGCACGGAAATTTTCAAGATGGACAGTTCTGCTGGGAAGTATTTTTCTTTTGACTATTCACCGTCACTGTAACACAAAAAGTATATCAATCGACCAGAAAATATCAAAAAGGAGGTTTCTTTTAAGCAAGTATATCAAAAGCAGTTCCTGGTTTCCTTTTATCACATTCCTTTTTTGAGAAAAAGCAATCAATTCCAAGAAAATTGTATGTGTGAGAAAAAATATCTGAAGTGATCAGAGTTCAAGTTTGCCGATACAAAAAAGTTTCGAGAATGCAACTTTTCAGCTTCATCTATCGGAATTGATAAGACTGTGATAAACTGTGTTGCATTGTAGAAAAATACAATAATCAACTCATTGTTCTTTGAAAAAAGTTTTGATTTTGTTGTTTTGAAAAAGTGAAATCTACAAAAATGATAGATAGTGCAGCTTTAGTTTTGAAAAAAGTTATTTATGAGATTTTGATCAACAGGAAAGTTATTATCTGTTTCACAAAAAACTATCGTTCCCATTTTCATTGACTCTGAATCATTTTCCCCTTCATAGAAAACTTTGAAACAGATTTCGTAATAGCCCGAATGTTTTCTCTGACCCAGCAGCTTTGAAATAGGAAACAGGTTTATGAAGAAATATGTTCCAACGAATCGCTTTGTCTATGAAATCAGAAAATGATTTAAATGTGGCCGAATGGTCTAGTGGTATGATTCTCGCTTTGGGTGCGAGAGGTCCCGGGTTCAATCCCCGGTTCGGCCCATTCCTTTTGAAAATGTTTCATAGGTCTCAAGCATGTTGAGTCAAGAAGTGGTGGTTTCTGTGAGAAGTGCCCAGAATGCGGATCCGTTTATTGCTAGAAAATTTATTTTCCAAATTTCGCATTCCAGATTTTGGAAAAGGTTATGTTCCCGATTCGCCGCATAAGTGTAATTTTTATATGAACTTCTGCGACCGGTTTTTTTTGTTTCAACTTCCGCTAAAAACCTGTTTGCTTATCATCTTTTAAGCTTGACTTTTTGAAAAACAAAATACAAAAGGTTTGCAAAAACAATTGCTTGTTTTAAATAAAAAAAATCAATTAATAGTGAACACACATATCCTTCATGCAGACTCCGGTGCAGTCGACGCATCCAACCTGGACCTCGGCAGCGACTATAGAAGCAGCGATGGCCAAGACGAAAAAAAAAATCAAATGATACTCCATGTTTCTTGCGTGGACGAGATTTTATTGGAATATTCAAATTCTTTGAAGGCGATTTTTGGAGTTTTAGAGTGAATGTGTTTTTTGATGAATATCAACTGATCAGAGATGAAAACGGGAAAAGGGAAGAATTTTCTTGTAGTTCGGAATTCCTTAAATATTTTGATTAAACTAGCGCGCATTTTCCCTCAAAATTCGAAATGGAACGCAGGTGCGCGGGGCTAAAGTTTTTCTAGAAGTTTGTACTGAAACCCCGTTTTTTTCTAAAAAAATTTCCACAATGATTCTCATTCTTTCAAAAAGTTTCATTTGATTAAACTTTTCTTTTGGGTCGAAGTAGAAAATAAGAATAGCAACTTTTTGTGAGTTTCTAGCTTTTTTTCAGTTATTTGCCGATTTCTGCAGATCACCTGCTTTTTCACTTTTTTCAGAACAAAAACAAGAAAACATGGATGTTGTCCAGAGAAAAATACCCGAAGAACTAGGAACTTTAGAATAATTCTGTGAATAAAGTTTTTATTCTATAAAGGATTTCGGAAACTTATGTTGCCCCTGTTTTCTCTCAGTTCTGATTATTTTTGAAAACAGAATGAAAAAAAATTTGCAGAAACAATTGCTTCATTGAAATTATAACATCAATCAATAGTGAACACACATATCCTTCATGCAGACTCCGGTGCAGTCGACGCATCCAACCTGGACCTCGGCAGCGACTTTAGAAACAGCGATGGCCAAAACGACGATGACGAGGAAGACGGAATAGGAAGTAGTGAAGAATTTCATGTTGAAACTTCAATGATTTTACAGACGAGAGAGCTCTCTTATATACCCCTCAAATGATACATCCATGTTTCGTGCTTGCGCGAGGTTTTATTGAAATATGTGAATTCTGTGGGGGCGATTTTTGGAGTTTCAGAGTGAATCATCATGTGTTTTTTTGAACATCAAAAGATCATAGCCAAAAAACGGGAGAAATGGAAGTGTTTTCTCGGGAGCTAGACAAGGCTGTTCTGGGTGTTCGCAAATTTACGAAGATTTCAATGAAATGAAAGTTTCAACTGAAAATCCGATTTTCCGCAATGGAGTTTACAATAAGGATTTTGTGTATATCGAAAAAAAATCTTTTTCGTAAATCTAAAACATGTTCATCTTTTTTTAGCAGATTTCGTAATCGGCCGAACGCTTCCTCTTGGTCAGCAGCTTCGAAGCGAGGAACAGGTTGCTAAAGAGATAGATTCGAACAAATTGCAACGATTCGGGGGTACAAGGGGGTACAAAGTGATTTAGGGGTGCAAAATCTATGATTCGGGTGTACAAATATTCTAAGCAAATTGTATTTTTTAAACCGTTAAATTGAAACTTCGCCTCCAAGTAAGTTAACATATCATGTAGGCTGAAAATTTCAACTCGCCAGTACGAAACATTCATTTTACCTAGGCAATTTGTACGTCCCGAATCACTAATTTTGTACCCTTTATATCAGTTGAACCCCCTTGTACCCCGAATCGTTGTACTCTCCGAATTTTTGTCCTTTTTTAATTTCTATAGACGAAATTATGATGAACAGGATGAATCAAGAAGCCGTGGTATCTGCCAGAGTTGCTTGAAATCAATATCCATATTCCGTGTTTGTGAAATTTTGTCGATGTCAGATTCTAAAACACATTGTTTTTGTCTCGATTTACTGCACACTTGTCATTTTACTATGAATCTCTCTGTTTGGTTCCCATTGAAATCAATGTAGAAATGGAGATATCTTGCATTATAAACAGTACCGGTCAATACGATTTACAACATCACTTCTTTCAGTTTATTATGGGTCATTTCGACAGTTTTCAAGAGTCTGGAGCTTGGCTGTCAAGTTTCCGATCATTTTGAAAAATGTGTTATGTGTAAAACCGACCTAGATTAAAAAAATTGCATTCATAGATGATTCCGAGTTGCTATATGTTTGCCAATTTCTGCAAAAACACATGTTGTTTTTTCCTGTTTTTACGAAGACAGGCCTTAAACAGGTGCCTTCCAGAAATCGGCAACTAGCTGAAAAACTAGAATTCAAGCCGTATTCAGAATGTCAATCAATTCATTTTATCTTTAATTCCGAATTTAGTTTCACAAAACAGTTAAATTTCTGACTTACAGTATTTTGTAAGCCTATACGTGTTCTTATTTTCTTTAAAGTTCTGATTATTTTTGAAAACAGAATGAAAAAAAAATTTGCAGAAACAATTGCTTTATTGTAATTATAGCATCAATCAATAGTGAACACACATATCCTTCATGCAGACTCCGGTGCAGTCGACGCATCCAACCTGGACCTCGGCAGCGACTTTAGAAACAGCGATGGCCAAAACGACGATGACGAGGAAGACGGAACAGGAAGTAGTGAAGAATTTCATGTTGAAACTTCAATGATTTTACAGACGAGAGAGCTCTCTTATATACCCCTCAAATGATACATCCATGTTTCGTGCTTGCGCGAGGTTTTATTGGAATATGTGAAAATTTGTGGGGGCGATTTTTGGAGTTTCAGAGTGAATCATCATGTGTTTTTTGTGAACATCAAAAGATCATAGCCAAAAAACGGGAGAAATGGAAGTGTTTTCTTGATCGAATAAACAACCATAATTTTAAAAAAGCACTGAATATTCGCTAAAAAATTATAAAATATAGCTGAAAATCGGTTTTAAGGGTACGGACTAAACGTGAACTAGTTGTGAGCATTTATTGTACAATTGAAAATTCGAGGTTGAGCGGAGCTTAAGTCCGTACCAAAGTCGCTGAAGGAACATGTACTTTCGTAATCAATTTCTGGTTTTTATTTTTCAGATTTTTCGGTGAATTTAATCTACTTTTCAATTATCTACTTTTCAATAATTATTGTTGTTTTCATACGATTTTTTAAATAATATTTTGGGACTTTTGTAAGAAAACCGTTCAAAATCGACGGAATTTAACCAAAAAATCAAAAAAAACTTTGCTATTGTTCTATGCACGTTTTCGCAATTTGTCGAATTTCCGTTGGAAAATAGTTCAAAATAAATGCGATTTTTTGGAAAGTCAAAAAGATTGGCCAGAAAACTACCACGAAAATGCATGCTTCTTTAAACTCCCCTTTGAGGATTTTGCTAGCGGACCTACATATACTCCGAGTACCCTCGAATTTCTGGCTGCAATGCGGATTGAAATTTGCTCTCGGATTTTGAAAATTCTGAAGACTGTCTAGCCCGAGATCTCATCTTAATCTCCAAACCGAATCAATCTAATTCCCGCTGGATCTCATTTTAAAGGTTTTATTACACGTTTCAAAGCATATTTTCAGTTTAAGCGAAAAGTGACTGAAAACAAAACACAAAGAACCGAATCGAAGGGGTGAAAAGGTTGGAGATAGGGGTCATCTACTACCAGTAAATCTAGTGATATACAGATATTGCGAGAAGAAAAAAGATGTGGGGAAATGAAAGAAAGGAAATGCAATAAGTCACACATTTGACAAAAAAGAACGGAGGAAAACAAATTGAGTAGGAAAAATGGAAAATTAGAGCAACAAAGTTTACAGAAGGAGTCAAGTGAAAAAGGTTAACAAAAAGGGCGGTGAGGGGGTCGAATAGTTTTGGATGTGTGAGAAAATGTCTCAAGTGTAATCATTTTCAGAATTTGAAGGTGATAAAATTGATTTCACATCCCAATCTCTGAAAATGAAAACGAGACAAGTCATCCTATCCATCACTATAATCACATTTAGGAGCATTTTAGAGATGTCTGTCTTTTACAGAAAAGATATACCAATTAACGTTTGCTTTCAGAAGAGAAATGTCAGGTTAACAAGACATGGATACGATAAAAATGATTGAACCCAGGGGAAACTTAAGTTACACAGTGAAAAAAAAAGAGTTTGAAAAAAGATTCTGTACAAACAAATGAGCACTTTCCAGAACGAAAGTGTTCAGTATCCAAACAATGGATTTATGGAGAAGATGGTGGAGTGGAAGTAGCATCATTATCAATTTGACTCGATTCGTCCTCTTCTTGCTCCTCGAGGATTTGCTCGGGGCAAGTCTGCCAGTTGCGCCAACCGATTTGTTCTGAAACATTTGTACATAGAAGTGAAGTGATTGACAATTTAGGCTTACCATTCTCGAGAAGCTCAATAGTGTCCAAGAACTTCACACCAGTGAATCCACCAATGCAGTAAATTACGTTTCCAGCAGTGACAACGGCGTGAGTGTTACCTCTGAAAATTCCATACTGTTTTCGAGTTGTTATACAAAAAATGTTACCGGGCAGTAGTCAAAGTTGGTCCAACACGCCACTGAGAAGATGGACTGTCAAGAATCTCTACAGTATCCAGACACTGAGTTCCATCGTGTCCACCAATCACATATAATGTGTCGCGGACAACAGCAACGGCACATCCACGTCTTGCCTGCCGGAGCTTCGGAAGTTGACGCCATGTGTTTGTCTTTGGATCATAAGCCTCGACAGTATCCATGCAGATCCAACGATCGCATCCTCCAGCGGCAATGATGAGTCCTCTCCAGGTGCACACACCAGCTTGGTATCTGGCTTGCTCCATTGAAGTCATTGGCTCCCATACAGCCTCTTCGGATCCGAGAGTGTTAGTATCAAAACGTTCACAGTCCTTGAGCACCTTCTGGTCAAACAATCCACCGATACAGTAGATGTAGTTATCGATGGTGGCACATCCGTTGTGACATTTTGCAGTGTTCAAGTTCGGGAGTGGTGCCCATTTGTCTGCCTTTGGATCATAAACCTCGCAACTCTTGAGTTCCTTGTTTCCATTACTTCCAGCAACGGCATACACCTTTCCTCCCTGAACTGTGCAATCGAAACGTCCTCTCTCGGCTTTCATGTTCGCAACATAACGCCATTTGCCTTGAACGACATCGTATTCTTCAACACTCTTCAGGCATTCTCCACGATCGTAACCGCCTGAAAATCAGATATTCAGCTGACGTCATTCTTAATCATCAGGAAAGAACTCACCACAGACAAAGATCTTGCCATTCAAGAAAGATGCTCCGATTGAGCAACGTGACGAGCCCATGCACTCCAGTGGTTTCTGCTGTTTTCCGGTGCAAGAAATCAAACGAGAGAGAAGGGCAGCTTTCTGAGAGTCAACCGGACATGGCTCTCGTTTCGTACGAAGAAGCTCCTCGTTGTCGGTAAGCTGAAGGCTTAAAACACAGAGACGGCGGTAGAGGACGACAAGAGCGACCCAGTATTGTGCTGAAAGAATATGGAATTTTTATAGATAGGAAATTCAAAAAATTACGAGCTGTGCGGTGAGTTGAGATCAATCTGGCTTCAATGGTATCTTGTGGATCCGAATCATCAGTTCCAGCAGATTCCAGACTTTCATTGGAAGCATTCATGTTTGGAAGACGTGACGCATTCAAACGAACTGGTACGGCTCCATTGACTCTGTGCTGAACCACTGAAGTGATGATTGGTTCCTGAACAGTCATCGCCTTGGCGACGTCCTTTCTGTCTTTTCCGGACTTCTTGTAGTCCTGAATGATATCACAACTTCCGACCGAAGAACGCTCGTCCATTTCAAGACAATCGGCCAAATGATCCTCCTCCATGTACAAGATATGAGTCTGAAAACAAACAAATTTCACTCACTGATAACAGTGTGAATTCCAACCTTGCATGTAAGCATATCAATGGAATGTTCGACACGCTCATGAGGCATGTTCTGGAAGTAGAACAGCGCCATCTCGGCCAATCCTCCCTGATTATTAGCGTTGTTGGCGACCTTTCCATCCTCAGCAGGAACAATGATTCGAACCTAGAATACCGGAACTATTTGTTTTTGATTTTTCATCTTATATTGAATGCAACTAAAACCAGAAAACGCGTTTGTTCGGAGAAATTGGACGAATTTTCGTTGACAAGTCGAAAACCTTCCCCTTGATCTCTAATGTGATCTGTTAGATCATCTCTATTCGTCATGTCTACAAGCGTATGCATTTAACTAGATTGTCGTACCTGGATAACTGGCAACTGAGTGAATTCCTTGCTGTCGTTAACAATGGAATCAAAGTTCTCCGTAATGAAATCATCTACCTTGCTCATGAGGAAACTGTCGTTATGGAAATTTGCTTGACGGCGAACTCCTAAAAATATATACCGTTTTTCATTTAATTTTTGTTAAGGTACAAACCAATGCAGTTCGAGACTTGGAGGTTATCAGCGAGATATCCAGCACATGCCTTGATAACTGGATTCATCTGAAGAGCATAGGCAGTCTTGTACAGCTCGGCAACTTTCTTAGAGCTGATTTCCAAGCTGAAAATTTTCATTGAGTTTTAAAGCTTATTCAAGGATTATTCAATTCTCTTCCATGTTTTTTCTCGCATATTAATTCTAATTTTAGACAACAGGTCGTTTCCCAACAATAATTTTGATTCTTCCCCCTCAGATTGATAAGACATATGTATTTAACTGTGCGTGTGTTATCAAATTTGTCTTTTTGTTTCGTCAGACAAATGAAAAATGCGTGTTCATGTGAAGATGGCGTGTCTACATTCACAATCCACCCCGAATTAGTCGACTGATATGAATGTCGTCTTACTTTGAAGTGTATGCAAAGTTGACAAGTGCTTCGAAGCATTCAAAATCAGTTTGAGCAAACTCGTAGAATGTAATCGACTGGTTCTGTGGTTTTTGACCTTGCGACAGCGATCCATTGGCGACTACACCGACTCCATTGCCATTGGTGGTCACACCATTGGTTGGAGCTTCTCCATTGGTTGTTGGTGTCGAAGTTGGAGACTTCTCTGAAAATGGACCACTGAGTTCTGGACCCGTAGGTCTCTAGTAGGATACCATCTTCGTTTTCGACATTGAACATGTCAAATAGAGCTGGTGAGACAGCAGCCAAGACGACTTTGTGCACAAAGATTTCGCGTTCCTTGACAAAAAGGACAGTGTCACAAAGGTTTCTGTTACGACGGAAGGTATTCAAGCGATCCAGCAGTTCGTTCTGAAAATACAAAGTGTGTATTTTATTTTCAACTTTTTTTTCGAAACTTTTCGTCAAGCTCTCAACTCGTCCGATTTTTGAAATCCGAAACTCTATACTAATACATGTTCGAAGACAACACATGCCGAAGTGCGTGCAAACCATTCGGTACGAAAACCGAGGGACACTTGTACTTTTTAAAAGAAAAGGGATAAAAATCCCAATCTCACCTTGATGCTCGGGTCGGAGAGCGTAAGTGTGTACGCTTCCTTCTCATCGAGAGCCTCTTGTCCCCAATTGTCCGTCTCATCGGCACGCATCGAAACAGCGGATCTTGTACGTTTCGGGACAAGGGCCAAGACGTTAGTCTGAAAAATAAGAAATGAAACTTTTTGTTGTGGAATTGGAAACGTGATTTTTCTGGTGCTCTGAAGTTTCCGTTTCACCAAAAAAAAAACCACACGGCAATGTGTATTGGAGCATAGTTGAAATGAGCATCGATCAAATGTTATATTTCTATATTTTCTACTATAAAACTATTGAGCCGATATGTTTTTTTCTCTTTTCATTGCCCCACAGGATCGGTCAAAAAGATATACAAAAACGTTTTTTTTTCAGTTAATTTTAACTATCTTCATGAGTCTAGATCTCGGCTGTCAAGTTCCTGATTACTTCGCAAGTTTTCGAGGTGTTAAAACAGACCTAGATTGAAAACTTTGCATTCACTGAGTTTTTAAAAATTTCCTAGTTTTTCAGCTATTTGCCGATTTCTGAAATAAACCCTTTTTTGGACTGTTTTTGTACAGAAAACGTGACTCTCGGAAATTGGTGTACAGCTGAAAAGCTAGGAACTTTCTAGAATTTCAGTGAATGCAAAATTTTTAGTCATGATCTGTTTTATGACCTCCAACATTTTCAAAGTGATTCAAAACTTGACAGCCAAGCTCTAGACTCTTGAAAATGGTTAAAAAAATCAACTGAAAATCACGTTTTATATTCTATCGACATGTATATTTAAGTCGCTTACCTTTACCAGAGGCTTTTCCATATCAAAAGCCAAAATGTCCGAAAGTTTCGGACGCTCCTCGGTCAGATCGATGTTGAGTTCGAGAGGCATTTTGGTTGGATAGTGTTGAAAAGTTGATTTGTTTGAGAATTGGTTTTAGACGACCAAAGAAGAGCCGAGGCTGAAAATGTATTTAGAAAAAATGTTCAGAAAGTGGTATGAAAAAGAAATTTTGAGATCTTTGGAAACTCATTGAGATGGAAAAGAAGGGAAAAAATTTGCACGGCTGCTTCCTAAGAACATGATGAGGATTGAAAATGACAAAGAAGAATGACTATGTGAAGCAAAAAGATGAGAATGAAATGCAACAGCACAAAATGTCTCTGCTCTTTCTTCTCCTTCTTTTTCCTATTTTTTTTTCAACTGCTTTACTCACTACAAACTCACGTGGCGCCTTGGTCAGAAAAAGAGACGCTAAGGCTCTCTCTTCCTACAATTTTAGCCCGTCACACTGCCTGTGTGGCCCTCCCAGTTCACCGCGCTCAGTTAGCATATCTCTCACTACATTCTGTGGTCTCTTGAAACACGCTGCGTATTCACTATTTTTCCTTCCCTTTTTTGTGGTGGCTCTCTCACATGAGACACTACTCGATTCTGGGGGTCCCACCCCCCGTCAAGCATCAGCATTTTGAATGAAACACGCTTTTTTTCATACGCCTCATTTTTCATCTGTCCTTTCATTTGTTTTATTTATGCGCAATACTACTAGCTAGCACCAACCATTGATTGCCAAAAATTATGAGGAGGAAATAGGGTTCCTCCCATACATTTCCTATGTGAGACAGACGGAAAAAATTTTTGATTGAAGGCGGCTATTTATTATTGAACATTGGTATGTGAGAGAGAGAGCCACGGAAAATGGAGCACCCACGGATTAAAGCATAGTACAGACATAGTGCATTTTTTTTCTAAGAGGATGTGTGAATGTATTTCCGACCGAAAATACTTTTTTCAGACATCCTCAATACAAAAATAGATTGTAAACATGTTTACCAAAGGAATTCAAAACATTTACTGTTGCAGAAAGTTAGACTATTCAAATATCATAACAACTACTCCTTATAATGACTAAAATCTTGAGTCACGTTACAGTCCGCCTGACCACAAAACAACAACCAAGGAAAAAAAACACAATTGAGAATATAAAAATAAAGTTTTTGGCTCATATCCAAGACACCAAACATTTGAGTGAAGAGCCGTCGAGAATGGAGACCGAACATGTGACGGTTTTTTTTTGCGAAAAAAAAATGTTTGCGAAATGAGAGAAGCCACCATCGTCATGTTGACCAGTTGAAAAAACAATCGAGTGGTGTGGGAGAATAGGAGAACACGCTGAATTTGAGGAGAGGAAAAGGAAATGAACGGAACGGCCGGGGAAGAGGTCTCACGTGGTATGAAGTTACAGTGATTCATTGATTATATTATTCAATGAATGGTTTCTTTTTTTAATATAAATAGAAAACGAATTTTGCAATAAAAGTTGTTGCTGCTTTTGCAACAAGCCGGGGCTGGCTAATCAAAAACGAGCAGTTGGCCGACGAAACGTCCACGTATTTGTACAGACAAAAACTGGAGCGAAGGGCACAGTTTATAGGGGCGGAGTCTGTTGGACTTTTGGTTGTGTTGCGTATGTCCAACACACACAATATCAGACAGTTGACAGAAAAAAAGAGTGTTTACGAAAGAGACACAAAGGCATGTTGCGAAAAGGCGGAGTGAAAATATACTGTTGATGATAAGAAAGGCACTGCTGATGGGAGGGAAGGCGATTGGAAACTTTTTGGGGGTTACCCTTTTTCATCTTCAGACTATTTTCCTCTCTTCTCAACGTGTTTTTTTTTTCATTAGAACAGAAGAAAGGGAAAATTTAAAGATCATCATATGGGGTGATAACACAGCGACGAAACGAATGGAACATTCTGGGTTAGAAATTGTTTTTGCAAGAATGGTTGTGGAGAACGAAATGGAACGATGAATATCTTTTTTCGGCTTTTGCATGATTATTATTCTCATTGAAAGGGAAGAGAGACAGAAAAAGCTAGTGAGAAGGAAGGGATGAAAGAACAAACACAATGGAGGGGTGGTGGAATGGAAGAGAACGGCGAGGGCAGATTTTCAGACATCTATGTTGTTTTTTTTAAAGAGAGCTCTCAAAGATTGGCTGAATTTTTATTTTCAGATTGATGGAAGCTAGACTCTTGGGGAAAATCTTAATAGTTTGATTCAAAAACCTAATATCTACAGTGCCGGCCATGAGTATATGACAAGCGTGTTTTTCAGTTGATCTTGGCCATTTTCAGGAGTGTGGAGCTCGGTTGTCAAGTGTCGGATCAATTTGAAAATCTAGGAGGTTAAAGAACAGACCTTGATTGAAAACTTTACAATAGGATTTTTTTAATTCTGTGAATGCAAAGTTAGTTTTCAATCTAGATCTGTTTATAACTTCAAAAATTTTCGAACTGATCACTTGACCACCGAGCTCTAGACTTCTGAAAATGGTCAAAACCAACTGGAAAACACGTTTTTCATATATCCGGGACCAGCGCTGTAACCCAAAAACCAGAGTTCTCTGGCTACTTGGAAAATCAGATATCTATCATGTTGCAATGAGTCTCGACCCTCATCGCCACCACATGTCGTTTTTATCTCCACAATGATAACTGCTAGTCCTCCTTCATTTTTCATTTGGCTTCGTTTTTTCCGGAACAAAGAACAGACAGAACGGATTGTGACAACAAACAGATTAGCATACTGGTTGGAAATGATTAAATTGCTGAATAGAAAAGGAAAAAAAATAGAGGAAATGAGAAAGACTCAGTGTTCCTTGGTCGATTAGAAATCGCATTCCAATGCAAACGGAGAGAAAAACAAGTGGACAGAAACAAAAGAGTAAAATGAATTAGAAGAAATTAATAGATGCTGACTGAAAGAGGTATATTCTTTAATATACGACTACATTTCGACACATTAAGAATTGAAGGGTCACAGAACCCGAAGCTTCATCATTTCTCCTCTTCTCCCTCTGTTTCTCTCCTCCCATTCTCACAGCAATTGTCACGTTTGCCCCCGGTGGCTTTTGCTGATCTCAGACAGAAATGTATTGGGTGGTTTTGAAGAAGGACCAAGGTGCAAAGCGTCAGAGATGAGTAGGATGATGGTAGTATATGATATAGGGCGCTTACAAAAAAACGTTTCGTTTTGAATTGGTAGGAATGGATGAATGGAACGATAGAAAACAAATTTGAGATGGCGAGACGAAGCGGAATCTCAAAAACCGAACCGCGCACGTGTGCAAACAAAAAGTTCAAAGTATTGCGTGGCAAATGGTTTGGTCAGTACTTAAAACAAGAGCAAAAAGAGCCAGAGTTTTGTGCAAAAGATAGGAAAGTAGTGAAGTCGAGGGCATTCAGAGGTCACTGATATGAACAGAAGAGTTTAACAAAAAAGATCTGAGAACATTCATTTCTGAGAAATCCAAAATATTTTCGAAAAAAAATATCGCAATGCTTGAAATTATCTATTCTGCAAATCTAATTTTCTTCCGAAACTTGAAATTGGTTTTTTTTCCAAATTTTTGAATTTTTTGAATATTATGAACTTACTTTCAAATATACTTTTTTCCCCAATTCCAATTTTTTATTGTTATTGAGAAACTGTGAAACTATTATTCGAAATTCGACTAAATTCGGTTTTCATGACATCACAATTTCGATAGAATTTTGAAAAAATCAATATCTCACAGATTTTATTCCGTTTTGATTCAAACCATTTTTAACTACTCCAGAATTGAGAACATCGAAAATCTCTAAATGGATCGTTTAAACTTTGACCATCTAATACATAAACTACAAGGCAATCTCACTTATCAATCAAATAGGAAATTGATTGTTTGAATTGAAAAGGAACGGAAGATTGATAATCACAAAGATCAGATCAATCGCGACCATGTCTAAATAGACTTGATTCGACTTGACAGCTCTATTCTGGTAATCAGGTATTCTAATCAACAGATGTCTTTGTAGAGAAATTAATTCAATGAAGTCTAAAGTTATGCATATATGTGTTTTGTGTAGTGTCAACATACAGCTGCGTGTATGAATAACAGACAAAGAGCATTTTTTCTAAAAGAAACCACACCGGACCAACTCCCTGTTTGCAAAAACGCGGACCAAAATGAAAGGAAATGAGATTTCCTGGTGCTGGTTCAGTGCAACACACAAAATGCATAAATTCACATGGAAGGGAATGGGATAGAATGAAAGAGGATGAAAGCACTCACTTCCATTCCTAATCAAGGAAAAAACATAAGAAGGAGAAAAGCTCGGTTTTTTGATCTTGCACACATTTTCTAAGAGCTTCGGATGTTTCAAAAGAGAGAAGATGCACTTGAATACAAAAGTTTTTTGGAATTGTTAATGCGAAGATTTTAGGTGTGTTCGTTGAGAGCTGCTCTAGATGAAATATGCAAACGCGGAAGTTGACTCACAAGATTTCTAGACTTACAAGGATCCTATTCTCTCTCCTTGCTTTCCTTCAGAGGAGGGACAGAAAATCCGAAAGGATAATCCCACTACAAAGTACCTCCCAATAGAAGCTCCTAATCCTCCGGGATGAGCTCCAATCTCCATAGTCCTCTATTCATTTCCTTTCGCCCACGATTTTTTTTCTATCCGGACATCTCTCACTATTATTTCCAAAGGAAATGAAAAGTGGAAAGACAACGACGACACTGATAAATGATACAATGTGTCAGCTAGAGTGTAAAATCGAGGAGCTGAGGGTCAAGTGGTCACTTTTTCCTGGATCTTACGTTTTTCGATAAAGATCTTTCTAAAAAGAAACAGAAATTTTGGAAAAAAATCGGTTTCTAGGGGAGGCAGATTTAGTTTTGATGAGAAACTATTTCACCTATTCGAAAATATTTCGAGGGATTGAAACTCTATTTGAATTTTGCAACGTTTTTAAATATCAGAACTTGTCCTTCTGCGTCACCTGGAGACCAGTCATTTCGGAACGGATTGTTTCGAAACCGTGGTAATTCAGGCTTTCAAATAAGTTTTTTTTCGATAGAGCACATTCTGAAACTCAAAAACTTCATTAAAAATTTTGAAGAAATAATATATTTATGTTTTTCGGAATTCAGAATGTTTTCTATTAGAGAAACCAATTTGAAAACTCTAACATTATTTTTGGAGTATGAAATTTTCTATTTGCCTGTATTACGACAGTTTCGAAATGGCTAGTTTCGAAGTAACGCAGAGCCATTTTCACTAATTTTCCGGGATACGACACTTTTCTAAAACGTCGACTCTAAAAATTCAAACTTCGCAACAAATTGACATTTTTCGTCAAATGTCGAATGCTGATAACTGATCATTTCGGGAAGATGCAAAGTCCTAGATGATAATGAAAAATACAATTCACGTGACCCTTGATTAAATGAGAATAGACGATTAGACGACTGATTGCACAAATTTCAGAGAAAAGTGCCGGCGAAACTCGGAAAATTGACGAAAAGTTCCACAACGCATCATACTTCAAAAACGATGACTTTCCCTTTCCCAATCACGGGGGTTTCCTGATTTTACATATTTTTCAATTTTGAGAACTTTCTATTTTTCCCCTTTTTTCCTGAAAACAAAAAGCCAAAGTTCAAACCTCGTCAATAATGCAGATCGGAGATCGATCGGTGTCGTCTTCTTAACCTCCAAACTTGTAGTCGATACTGTTAGGCGTTGTCGTCGTCGTCACTTCCGATGAATGACGTCTTCTGAAACAAAAAAGGAACGCGTTTGTGATTTTGAGTATGCGATCTTAGAGGGAAAAGCAGAAAATATTGGAAATGGAGAAGAATGAATAAGTCAGTTCTGTGAGAGCCAACTGGAGGAAGTCGGGTGGGAGGAAAAAGGTTCAAAAAAAGATGTGGGATGGGCATGGAGAGCAAGGTTTCCAAGGAGATGCTGGGGAACAAGGTCATAAAATTGAAGCTTTTATTCTCTTTTGAAATAGAGATAGAGAGAAAAAAAGAGAATGACGAATTCGAAATCAAATTTTTTTTCTAAATTTTGTAGCGAGATATTTCTTTCAGAATCCACAACTTATCTATTCAGAATCATTTTATGAATACGAACACATCCTTCAATCCAACTCAATATTTGCAACAAAAACGGGAAGACGAAAACACTCCTGAATCAAAAGGAAAATTAGTGCATGTTCTCGAGAAACAATAATATTTGCTTTGGGGCTTTGATCACCGGCTATCTCTCGAGAAGTAGCTACTCAAAATCGAAGAAGGGCGAAACAACAGGAAAGGATAGCGCACGTGGTAAAACAAATACATTCGAACGACGCGGCAATGTCAGCCGCGCACATTTGCATCACACAGTCTCTGCCAATTCTCAGCGCACAACATACGCAAACTGTGACGAAGAGGTTAGAGAGTGACGGAAATTAGGAGGCGCAGACATAATAAGAAAAACAATAGGGTCATCTGGTGAGCCGATTGCGGAGTGAGATAGTGGTGGTGAATGAGGAGGACGGGTAGTGGAATATCGATTGGTACCTCATTATTATTTGTGTGTCATGAGAATAGGATAAAAATATTTGAAGATTGATGAAAAATGTTTATAGACTAGTTTGCCTTTTTTGATCTACCGCCAAGAATTTATGATTCTTTTTCTGAAGGTTCCCAACTTTCCAAATCGCGAAATTTTTTTTTTTAAGTTTGTTCAATTCTGATCATCTGAATTGTCGGATCGTTAAATTATTTTTTCAACATTTTATATTTTGGGGGAAGAAATAGGGAAGTAATGATGTGAAACTCAAAATTCGGGATTCCGAGCATTCCAAAAAATCCAATAAATTTCAATATGGAAAATAAAAACTTCAAAAAATCGAGGAACTGAAGAAATACTGGATGCATGCGAAAAAAAAGCATCGTTTTGGTATTGGAAAAAATTTTTCAGTCATTTTTTCAAACTTCGATTTTTGGCCCCAAAGTATTTGTTTAGGAATAACTGGACGTTCCAGCAGCTCCGATATTTTCATATTCCGAAATTGTTTTTTTTTTCAAATTTTTGAAGGTATTATAAAACTCTATAAACTCCAAAAATTCACATTTCCTTCAGAAAATGTATTTTTCTCGCCCATTTCAATTGTTCAATTTTCAGAGTTTCTGAATTTCTGAATTTTCAAGTTTTCCAAAACGTTCTGAGTTTCGAAAGTTCCGAATGTCTTAAATTAACTCAAGAACTTGCGTACACCGTAAGAAGCAATTTACAACATTTAAAAAATATTTCTTCAAAATTTTCGGTGCTACCGACAAAGCTCGGAAAAAATTTGTTGAACGTTTTTTTTCTCTAAAAACACTTTTTTGATGCAAATTTGTTTATTGAATATTGAAAACTGTTCAGAATATACAAATATTTAATGTTTTCTCTGCTTTCTGGCTGGGCACTTGCAGTATCCGGCGTCCTCTCCTGGTTGTCCTGGCTCTCCGTAGTTTCCGAATCCTCCGTCGTATCCTGGAGCTCCATCCTTTCCAGCTGGCCCTTGTTCTCCTTCTGGTCCTGGCTCTCCTGGATTTCCTGGTGGTCCCGAGTTTCCAGAGAAACCTTTTGGTCCGACAAGTCCTGGAAGTCCTGGTGGTCCGGATGGTCCCTTCTCTCCGCGAACTCCTTCACGTCCTGGCACTCCCTTCTCTCCTTCCTTTCCAGCGTCGCCCATCATTCCCATATCTCCTGGAGCTCCTTGTGGTCCTGGTGATCCTTCACGTCCGATCTCTCCTTGGTCTCCTTGGTTTCCTGGAAGTCCTTGCGGTCCTGGCTGTCCTGGGTATCCTGGTGGTCCCGATGGTCCTGGTGGGCAGACACGGCATCCATCCTTAGCCTTCTCGGCTTCTGGAGCGATTCCTGCGAGTCCTTGCTCTCCTTGCTCTCCAGGAGTTCCTGGAAGTCCGTCAAGTCCGTCCGGTCCTGGACGTCCCTTTGGTCCAGATGGGCACAAGTTCTGTTGATCGCAGTTACATTGCTCATTTCCAGCCTGTCTCTTGACTTGGTGTCTCTTCAATCCTGGCATCTCTCCACGAAGGTGAACCATATCTCCCCAGACCTCTGCCTATAAATAATTCAGTCATCTTGGATATACAATATCAAGTAACACAAACCTGAAGAGTATTGAATTCCTCCATGCTGAATGCCAGAGAAGTTCTGATATTGTCGATTCTCGAGAAGAAAACGGGGAGATAGAATAGGGTAGCAGCAATGCTAACGGTGCAGATGGTGATAGCCCCATAGGCTGCAATACGAGCAGAGTCACTCATGATTCAGAATCAGTGAATGTTGGAATTTCAAGTGCTTGTCGAGGCTTTTATACGGTTAGATGATGGTAGGGAGGGACGATGCGCGGTAGGAGAAAACCTGGTGGTGGCCGTTAGGTGTCGCTTACACTCAATGGGGCGGGTTCAATCGTCCGCGTCTGATGCCGTCTCGCCAAAGTTGTTCGCGGCATGAGATTGAAAGTTTAATAATGATAATATCTCGACAGGGAAAGTCATCCAAACAGCTAAGGTTTGTGAGACTGTGAGACTGGTGTGTGAGAAAACAACTAGAAATCTAGAATCACTAAAAAACTATAGGGGATTTTTATTTCAGAACTTTTGAGTAGTGTTGATGTCTAGCTGTGTTCTTTGCCATTCAAGCGCTTTAACAATTCTTTGTTCATGAGTAAAAAACAAATGTGTACATCAGAATTTCTTGAATAGACAGACTCTCAAATAATTTATTTTCTAGCATATCAAGTTACAATTTTTGCTCCCTTCAAAACACGGACGTCTCCTTTGTTTTTTCCATTTTTTGATCTTGTGCACCATAAAGGGACCAACACCTATATCTATTATTTCCACAATCAGTAACCGCTTCATGACGTAAAAACTCGCCGAACAACTTTGCGTAAACGCATCACTTTTTTAATAAAACGTTTTTTACGCAACTACTGATTGCGCATTTTTTCCATCTCACCGTCTCACCTGCGCGACCGTTTGACACATGGGACTATGCGACGACTACATGACGACTATGTACGACTATGCGAACGGAGATGTCCGGCCGACCCAAGCGGATGATCATGGCGATGTGTCTGGCATTCAAATGCGTTGGTTGTATATGTAATTATGATGATGAAAACGGAATGAAATTATAGAGAAATTGAAGCTAAACTGAGATTATATTACCTCTATAACTTGGACAGGGTATATAGTCCGGTTAATAAACGTTCCGAATAATCATAAAACGTTTTCATCCCTGAATTACTTAATAGGCGATTTTCAGCATTGAAGAAGGCAAAATGTCTGTTTCATTGATGTTTGAAAAATTATATTATCCATTTTGAAAGGTTTCTAGTTTTGAAATTTTCTAAGAAAACATACAGATAAAGTTGCTGTAATCGTAAACTTCGCGCTCGAGCAAGATGACAAAACATGTCTTTATGGATTTTTTGAAACATGTCTTTATGGATTTTTTGAAACATGTCTTTATGGATTTTTTGAAACATGTCTTTATGGATTTTTTGAAACATGTCTTTATGGATTTTTTGAAACATGTCTTTATGGATTTTTTGAAACATGTCTTTATGGATTTTCAGGTTTACAAAACTGTAAACAAAAAAATCAGTGTCGTTTTGATTGTCGGAGTTTTCAAAATTTGCTCTTCCATGTGAGTTGTTCTCACTTCATGAAAATTCCGGAAGAACGAATCTCTAAGAATGAAAAACCGTCAACTTCGAGCCCATTTATCTCATTACCTGTTGAAGATATATGAAAAGGTTAACTGGCAAAACGTTTATTGATATATCAAAATTATTTTGCATGTTTATCACTGTTCGATATTTCTGACAGGAACCGATAAAAATTCGCTCAAAGGTTTAAGTGAGGTGACTCATTCTATCGGAGTAATTAGGGTAATCAAAACTTTAGGATAAAACTCGAAGTTGTAAGTTTTGACTATTTTCAAAAATATAATTGTTTGAAATTTTTTATTTTGTTTTAATGAGCTCAAATTTTCCGTTTGAGACGTTTCTTGAAAACATACTGAAAACGCCTCTAAACCTCTTTACTTAAAAATAGAAAACTTGGAATGTCCTAATTAATCTTGTAATTTCCCATTCGTGTAGAATTTCCCATTTGTGCCGATTTCTGAAAAAAACCATAAATGCTGAAAGAAATCTGTAAACGCAGTCCGATTTAACCTGTGAAAAAACCTAAGTGTACAACTTATCAATTCAACAGGGCTATTTTCAAATTCACATGGCTTATTTTGGCAATATACACAATTATTGATCCCTCTATTCAAGTTTTATGAAAAATTATTTTCAGACGTTCTCGTCATTTTTAGATTTTTTCAAATAAATCGTGGATAACTTGGCTCCTGGATGAGCTTTTTGGCTGAATAGTGGGAAACATTGTTGCAGTGATTTGAATTGTATATTCACTGTCGTTATGATATTTTGATCTGTTGTTTCTAATTTGAGCAAAACTTGAATTTCCAAATCTGCCCTTGAAATTCGGTAAATCTGATTTTGGTGAAAAACTTGATTTTGAGACTGAAAATTCTCATTCCGTACTAATCGTCAACTTTAATGACATTTTTGATCATTTAGATCTTCTTTCGAACATTATCTACAGCGGTCAAAATTTTTCGATCCCGCAATATTTTTTCAGTACAAACATTTAGCGCCATTTTTGAGCTGTCAATTCTCAAAATACCTAGAACATTGGAAACTTGATCATGAGCCCTCGTAAAATATTTTCTATCAATTTCAGCTTAAAAGCTTAACTAGAAGTCAAGTTATTCACAATTTATTCCAAAAAATCTGAAAATGACGAAAATGTCTGAAATTTTTTCCTGAAACTTGAATAGAGGGATCAATAATTGTGTATATTGTCAAAGCAAGTTGTTTTGAAACTGTTTTGACAACTTTCAACAAAAAAACTTAAACATTTTTCCCTGAAAAACTTCAGATTTCTCATTTTCCAGGAGTGTCCAATAATTATGACGCGGCCAAAAAACTGACTTTTGAGCCATGTGAGCTTGAAAATAGCCCTGTTGAATTGATAAGTTTCAAACTGGTAATCGGCGTTTATGTTAATTTTTAAAAATCGAAATTTATTGGGAAAGATCTTTCATTTAATTTAATAATCTGCAGACTGTAGGGACTTTGATTCTGGATCGGAGTTTTGCATACACTATTTGAGACACCCAAAGTCAACTATTTTCAACAAAAATGGTTATTTGTGGGCTTTGTCGGGCGTGGTCAGAAACAAAAAATCGAATGTTGTTCTGATTCCGGTAAGATCACTACTAGAGCCAACCAAACTCCGATAAACTATGACAAGGTTCCAACCAAATAGTATTTCAACTTTCATATTTCTACCAAAATCTGACCATGGCCCGCTATACCAGTTTTTGGGCAAGTTCCGGCCTGAACCTGACCAATATTCGTGCAAAAGCCGGACCCAGCCACTTTTAACAGAAAGTTGAAAGCCAACAGCCAAATTACTGAGTAATACTGTATAAAGCAAATTGTGCAAGCTGGAAAAAATGAGGAAAAAATGAAATTAGTTACAGATTTATCGAAATTTTGAAAATCATTAAATCACGTGAAGTTTACAATGAAAAACATTTTACAGCACACTTTCAGAGAGGTGTATACATTTGTATTCAGCAATCGGGTCAAAGGAATCAATTCGTTAGAAGTAAAAACGGAGAAGAGGATTCAGAAGATTCTAGAGATTCAAAAAAGACCCGCTCGATATATTTCTTGTTGGTTTTTGTTTAAAAAATTGTTTTCGTTTTAGTTGACTGGCTTTTTTCCATACATTGCTTGTTCAATCGGTTGCTCGAGCACAATTACTGTGTGTAATGGTTGAGTTGGACGATAGTCGGCGTGATTCATCCGATTTCTACCGGTGCCATAGGAGTAAATCTGGCAAATTTGAATGTACATATTTAAGGTTAAGCCACGATGTTTGTACCTGATAGCATCGGTATCCGATTCCTGCAAGGATGAGATGAACGAAGAAAACAAAAATTAAATGGAAGACCAATTTGACCATCATCTTCACTGTTTTGTGTTCATTGTCGTAATGAAGAGCTGGGAGGACAATGTTTGGGCTGAAAACATAAGATACAAATTATTTATCGGAAAAATAATATTACCGAACGTCTTCGCGTCCTTGCACTTGAAACATTTTCACAATGTACAGACCAATAACTATGAGAAGGCAAACGCATCGGACAAGTTCTGTGATAACGAATGGGAGGAAAAGAAGTGGTCGTTCGTTGAAAAGAGCATTGATGAGCACAAGGAAACAAATCATCTCGAATAGAAAGAGAACCGCATGACCTATAAAATCTTCATGTTTTCAAGTAAAAATAATAAAAGACTCACCAATTGATGGAACTACCAGTTTGAAATGGTCAATGAAGAAGAATTGGGCGATTCCAGCAGCAAAAATCATTATGAAAATCACAGAACACAGTATTGACTTCTGTAAATTAAATTTTTCTGCATCTTCAAACAATGAGATATACAAAAACAAAATTTTCAGTTTATTTTTGACCATTCTCACAATTTCCAGGAGTGTGAAGCTCGGCTATCAAGTTTCCAATAACTTTATAAACGTTGACTTAGAAATCTTCACATAGCTCAAAAACTGGGAATCAAAAAAATTCCGTGGAAACAGAAATTTTGATCTAGGTCTGTTTTACATCTCTAAAAGTTTTCAAAACGCACGGAAACTTGACCGCCGAGCAGCAGACTTCTGAAAACGGTCGAAATGCCCAAAAATTGAATGGAAAATACGTTTTTATATATTTTATTGGCTGGTATTGTGTATATTCCTTACCTTCATGCTGGTGTTGCAGGTTCTTCCAGACGATGTTAGCCAATCATCAATGCCAAAGAAGTAGATCATTTCGATCGTTCAGAAAGCTTGAGTTACCGAAATCCGGATGAAATCTGAAAAAAAAACAAATTAATATTTGGCGGAACAGAACAAAAAATAGAATAGAGATGAACAGGTGAATTTTTAGATGACAAATAGGCTGGAGAATATTTTTTTCTTTTCAATTATATTAGAATAACAATATGCAGATGAGTAATAAAAAAGTCAACGTGGAAAAAGAAATCCATTAACTTGATGAAAAAAAAACTAGAGGTTTTTTCATTTTCGTCACTGATCTTGGGACTTTCCGGTTCAGGAGTTAGAGAGCAAAGGAAATGAATCGCACGTTCCAGTGATCACGTAACAAAGCTACTCATTCCAAAACTAAATTACAGAGTAATAGTGTTCACAGAGTCTTATATACAATGCAATGACCCAAAAATGCAACTAAGGCGGCAAGTTGGTTTCAATCCCAAATAAAATCCCCGATGTCGTCCCTATCCAAAAAAATAGTAATTTGCAACTTCTCGATTTGGCCGCCTGACCATTTATGGTCAATTAAACGCCTCTCAGCACGCTGCTTCTAAGAAAAGACAAGGTTGTTTCCTCTTCAGGTCATCAGAAAAAAAAGAGGCGAATTGGTGTTGTCGTGGTCGTCATAAAAAAGTAAAGAAGACGGACATGAGGTTGAAACTGAAAAGAGGAGTGAAAAGAAGAACAAAAGTGAGGGTGTGATGAGGAGAAGAAAAAAAAAACGGAACAGTTCTAGTCATTGTACATAGAATATAACAATAACTAGTCTTTTTTTTCTTATTTTACTTGCATTGTTCTGGGAAACTTTTTCAATGAGCTCCAAATGATGTCATATACTGTCAGAATAATTAAATTCAAACGGGTGAGATTTGTAATTTGAAATTACAAATTTCATATCAAGATTGATGAAAATGTCTGAAAATTTATTGAAAACGTTACATCATAGGGTGCTCTTTGGAAAACTGAAGCTTCGAATTTTCCGAACTACCTCCTTACGTTTTTTTACTAGTATGACGTCAACGGAAAAATAAACGCTAAAAGAAAAAGAACTCGAGGAAGGAAGACTACTGCTCGTAAGAGGGATACCCAATGACATCTGGAAGGACATGAAGCATGAAAATATTCTGTTCATCTGACGGAAATAGAACAGGACAGAGAACAACAAAAGTTCTAGAAGAGTTTTTTTCATCTCTCACTGTAATTGTTTACTGGAAGTAATTAGAATGAATGAAGTTTAATTATAATTGGATATGAGCCCCATAATTTTTTTTTTCAGATAATATCAGGAGAATTTTTACATAGAATGGCCAGGAAAAATTGTCGCCTTTGTGTGAAGATGTATTCTACCGGAACAAATTGATATGATTGACGGAAAAGATTGGAAGAAAAGGCAATATGAGGTTTTGAACAAAGGATGGAAAGTGAAAAGTCGAAATGTTTATGTTTGGTGATTTGAAAAGGAAAGGTGAGGAGAGATTCTTCGAGAAAAAGGACAGGAAGGCGTGAATCGGGACATCTGACAGGGAAGCGACAAACTTCCGATGTGCATTATCATCGGAAGCGGGTGGAGGGTGGACGATGATGAATCAGTCAGGCTTCTATTATGAATTTTTACTTTTTGGTGACAATTGAAAAAGGTTGTGTGGGACGGGAGGGACGCTGTAAAACATATTCAAAAAAAAATACTGTTTGCTCTGGACACACTTCCGCTTCCTTTGAGTATTCATTTTCCAATTCTTGTTGCAACATTCGGTTATCCCAAGCGTATTTTCTTACTCTCTAAGGTTCCGAGCATTGGTCCCGGTTCCGCCTACTAAGGTTCGTTGGACCAGTGAAGTTGGAACAAAAAACATTTGGAAAACAAAAATGTCACTGGCAGAAGTACCAAGAATGAAATTGATTAAGCATTGTTTGGCTGGAGAGAGGGAGCCAAGGAGAGATTTCTAATTAACGAACGGCACTCCTAGAATGGGACAGTGAAAACTTAATTTCGCTAGTTTTCCCAAACAAGAAAAAACAACGCTCTCTAGAAAATCAATAAATTCTGTAAGACTGAAAAAAAACAAAAATAAACCTGTGTAGTGGCAGAAAAATTTTTTGAAAAGAACCGGCTGGCTGGTGGCCGAGCGACCCTCGAAGTTTACCAGTGGTGTGTGGACAAGGTAAAAAATGAGCGGAAAAGAAGAAACAGTAACAAAAACTAAGAGACATAGAAAAAATTGAGGGATTGAGGGAGAAAATCGAAAATCGATGAAAAGAAAAATGGCATGTGAGTTGGTTTTTCTAGAGACACGTGTTTGTTTACGAAATACAGGCAAGATATTCGTTTGAATTGGAATTTTCAATGGATTCTAAAACGAAAAGGGATCATAACAACACGAAAATGAAACTAAGAATATTATGATCTTGTGCTGCCGAAATCCAAGTAATCAAAGAAACATAAGTTGTAGTTTTGAGTTTTGATTTTGTGAAATTTCGAATTCAATAACAATTCAGAAAAAAAAATTTTAACCATGAAAAGAATATACCACCAAAAAAAGTTCACAAATCCGGATGAAATAGGCGGACTGATTGTGAACAAAGACGGGAAAATGGTCAAAATCGGCGGGAAGTCATCGGTTAAAAAGGACCACCCACCGTGATATTCGCGTGAAAGAAGGCAATTAAACAAAATTTACGATCCCACAAGGATCCCGATTCCGACATCATCTCGTACTATTCGTTTTTAGCTTTCGGGTGAATCATACTGTAGAGAAAACTTGGAAAACAGAAAGACATTTTTTGTGCTTTTTTTGTGAGTGGAAAAGCGCTTACACAGAAGGTCAAATAGAAGAAAAAATTGTTTGTCGGAAGGATTATGTGTTCGTCAGCAAAATTTGAGAAAATCAGACAATTTTTGTTTTGCTTTTCTCTTTGAGAGGGAAAGCGTTAATGAAGGCTCAATGTTTTGACAGACATAGACGCTGATGAATATTCATTAAGCTCTCTTATCAAAACTTTGGAATTAATTCAAGAAGCTATCGTTGGTCCCATGGAATGACGTTCCTCATGATATACTGTAATGGTCAATAAGATATAGCCAAAAAACATTTTAAATGTATTTTTGGCCAATTTGTTTTTTTTTTCATGAGCCTGGAGCTCGGTTGTCAAGTTTCAGATCGCTTTGAAAATTTTGGAGGGTGTAAAACAACCCTAAATCAAAAACGTTGCATTCACAGCATTTTTGAAAATACTTAGTTTTTCAGATATTGGCCGATATCGGAAACACACCCCTTGTTGGTCCGTTTTTTTACTGAAAATGTATAAAAAAACAAGTGTCCTCGGAAATAATTTTTAGCTATTTTCGGAGTTTTGGAAAAATGAAAGTTCTACTATAAAATTTGAAATTTAAAAGTTCCAAATTTTCAAAATCGGAAAATTCCGAGATTCCAAGAAAATTCCGAAAAGTTATTCCGAATATCCTTGCTCTGAATCCAAAAATTTTAATCCAGTTCTATATATCTGATCAACCAGTACTTGTGGTAGTTTTGAACAACAGAATGTATTCCAAAACGTTTTTTCAGTCCATGCCTCACAAAAATACAAAGTACATATAATACAACACATTCGGGGTGGGGTGCCAAAACGAATTTTTGGTCAGCAACATGGGACCACGGATAAAGCGATAAACACGAAAAGCATGTTGAAACAGAAACCAAAAAAAAGAGAATGCGGGTAAGAGAAACAAAAAAAGAAGAGGAAACCGTGAAGAGAAAGAAGAGAAAAAGAAGAGTGGAGCCAAACATACTGATGGCAAGGACCCGATTAGAAAACGACATCATGTTGACGGGACGGAAAAGAAGATGGTTTTTTAGGCTTGGGCTCAGAGCTTTTGTTTTGCAATGTTCTGCATTGAGAACACTTTCTTTTCATCCTAGTTTTTGTTGGAGAGTAGTTTTGAAGCAGTATCATAATTAAATGAAATTCTGCAAACAATAGGGAGGAATAGTGGAAGTAATCTTCTTTGTTGCGAAATTTGTTGATTGCTCTTGGGATGACAAGAAAAAAAAGCTCACCAAGTATTTTGAAATACGAAACAATATCTGCCTCTAAAAAGTAAACGAGAGTTTTTAAGTTACTGTAACTTGCTCTCATAAAATATTAAGATGCCAAACGTCTTGTTTATAATTTATTCAGACTCCAGAAACCTAGAAGACTATTTCTTCTGCCACTTGAGTTTTCATGGAAAATGCATGTCCTTGACGAAATAAGGGCCGACCGTTCACAACGCATTTGAGGGAAGAACCAGTGACGAGCGTGGAGGATAAAATTGAGGACACACATACACACAAAACATTCGCTCACAACAGTTAGAACACCGAAGCGTGAAAGGAGAATGGAGGACGACGTCGGGGGGCGATGGAGGCAAATCCTTAGATGAAAAGTTTCGAGTTGATGGGTGGGAAGAAAGCAGAGAGAAAGAACGACGAACAACACTTGAATCTTCCCGTCGGATCTGGTTACACCTAAAAGATCAAATTGTGGGATAAGTGCTCGCCACGCCGGTATTCCCTGTCACATATGATTCATCATTGAATTGAAATCGGGAGAAATGACGTGGACAGTTGCGGATAGATAAGAGCAATTAGAAAATTTCTTAGCAATGAAATATAGTTAAAGGAAAACATTGGTATCGAATTTTCAGAATGTTATAGACAGGATGATTACTATAAAAACAATATTTCAAGTATTGCAAAAATTAAAATTAGTTATGTGACCCACTAGAATGAAATCATACACTCCAAATTCTGTAAAATAATTCCTTAGTTGAATGAACTTCCCTGCTGATTTTTTTTCAAAAAACAGCTTAGAAAATTATTACAACTTCTGAGTAAAACAAAAAATTATTACAATTTAAAAAAAATTATTACAACTTTCTGACTATAACATAATTTTTCGGAAATTCCTAGTATTTTAGCTACTTGCCGATATCTTGAACAAACATTAGTTCTTACACATTTTTGGTGAAAAAATCGGGCAAAAAAAGTGTCTCTCAAAAATCGGCAAGTGGCTAAAAAACTTTTAATTAAAAATTTTGTGAATGAAAAGTTTTCAATCTAGGTCTGTTTTAAACGCTTAACATTTTTCGACGTGATCGAAAACTTGACAGCCGAGTTTCAGATCCCTGAAAATATTCAAAATCAGCTGAAAAACACGTATTCGTAAATCTTATTGCGCCGTACTGTACATTCAAATTTGGGTCTGAAAAATAATTTAAAACAATTTTTATTAATTTGCTTGTCATGATTAAAAAACCCTGAAATCCCTTATTCTAAAAGTCTGGATTACTAAAATAATCCGACTAGCAAATATTTTTCAAATTTTAAACTGCCACTCAATTCTTGAAACCAATTTCAAATTATTCCTAACATATTTATACTTAAGAAAATGCATATCTTAGTTGTAAAACCCTCTCGAAACATCTGGAATCCTGGGAAGCTCAAAAGCAGATGTTGAGAATAACTACATCAAGTAGTGAAAGAGGCGGCTCTTATAGCGAAACAATGGCTCATAAAAGGGCGGTTGCGAACGTCACCCCTGGGCCAACATTACCAAGCCTTTTGACTTTTCATGACACACTGCGCCCTACTCCTAACTCGCTAATTACCATAGACCGTTGACCTTCTATTGCTACTTCTACCTACTACTTTCTACATCCGTGTCTCTCAAGAAGTTTGGTCATAATCGGATTATGATCGTTTGGCGGTGGCACTTATTCTATTTCTTATCTGGATATCTCATCAATGTAAGTACCTTTTAAAAGGTGTGGCAATAGATAAAAAGAATAATAGTGGAAATCGAAAAAGAAGATCACTCATAATATTGCAGGATGCTAGGACAGAGCCGGGGTTGCGTGCTAAGAGGTATTCGATTGAAGGTGGGATATTTTTGTGAACAAAGTTTCAAGTTACTTCTATGACTTTTGAAAGTCCCATTTGATTTTTGGTTTTGACTAGAGAATGTATGTAGAATTTAGTGATGATGACAATTCTAAAACAAATTTTAGAGACAAAAAATGAAGAGTTCAGCCGATCGTGAGACTTAAAAAATGAATAAAAATAAATATTTTCAATAAATAATCTGTACGTGCCAAATTTTGAAACAAAGCCACTTATCTTCGCACTTTCTATGGATCTGTCCTCAGACTTAACTAGAAGTTAACTAATTAACCCAATTATGTCAAAATCCTCACTATACACAAAAATTAGTCAAATTATAGGATCGTACTGGGGCAAGAGCATCATCACGTACCGATTGAAGCAACCCAGTCAACGGATGAGTTTGAGCCAACAAAGAGAAGTCTTTGCAAAGGCGTTTGCGGTACGCCACTTTTATGTTTGCGACGAGCAACGGAAAGCCAGTGTGCGTATTACAATCATCCGCGTGTTTCGGGTTGATCAAATATGAATACTTGTTTTCGACGTGTGAAAATGGCGCGAAATCGTAGTGAGAAAAATGTTGAAATTCAAAAAATAGGGAGAGTTTTTGAAAAACGGAGATAACTGAGAAATGAACGCATATGTGGCTGCGGATGGGAATGAAAAAAAACCATCTAATTGTTAGAGCATAAAGTGCAAAAACTAAATTAGAGGCAAAAAAGAAGTGACTCGAAGCAGCTTGTCAAAGTGTTGAGTATTCGCCGAAAAGAAGAAGAAACTAGCCACTCTGAAAAAAATGCGTAAGTACATACTAATTGAATTTTTGTGTCATTTTGTATACGTGGGAGGAACACACAAGGCTCTGGTTTGTTGCTGTCAATGATGACGACCCACAGAAAGCTAATATTGATATCGTTTTTGCCGCCGGCGATCATGAAGATGGAGAGCCGTTCGATGGGAAAGGTCTACTGGATTTTTTAGGCCTAATTATATTGGAACTTATTTGCAGGAAATATTCTTGCACATGCGTTTTTTCCACGATATGGAGGAGATGTTCATTTTGATGAGGATGAAATGTGGAGTGCGAACAAATCAAGTATGGTTTTGCTTTCGCTTCAATAAAATCACATATATCCAGAAATTAGGAACGCCGTAAAATCACCAATACAGTTAAATCACCAATACCGTAAAATCACCAATACAGCCACCTCAACCGTCAAATTTGTCTCAATTAACGTAAACACTCTAATGGAAAGAATGGCACCTATACTTAAACGTTAAGCTCAATTATCTCAATTAGTTCGAGAGATAACAAGAATATGTGAACTGTCAGAATGTTTACCATAATATCCCCCAAAGTTGTTTCCGGTCAAACAATTTTGATATCTCTCATCGAAATTGAAATAATTGCGCTCAAAGTGCAAATATGGAGTGTTTACAGTATTTTTGGTTGTTAGTAAAAATATTAAAATAGTAGACTAACAAAACGTTAATAATAATAACAAATCAATTTTGTCATTTACATAACTTTCTATATATTTCACCGAAAAAAACAATCAATTCAAAGTTGACGATCAAAGTGCAACTGTTAGTCCAGTCCTAAAAAGTTACAGAATTTATAAAATTTATCATCATTTTTAGTTTGTAAACGGGTTTCCATATTTTCAGAAATCAGAATGCAATGTTTATCGACAAAAGCACAATTAATTTACTTTTGATAGTACTCACATAATATTTTGCGAAAGTTAAACTACATTAAAAATTATGTCCGAAAAAAAAACCTCTGAACTTACATTAACGGTATGGCATATGCATTACTACTTTGATACTTGACTAGTAAATTCCTACAACTTCAGAAGGAGTCGATTTGTATGCAGTTGCCGTTCACGAAATTGGCCATTCTCTCGGACTCAAGCACTCTGCGAACCACTTGTCCATAATGGCGCCGTTTTACAAACAGTACACTGGGAACGTAATGCACCTTCACCAAGGTTTGGAACCCAATTAGTCTTCATTCAAATTCGAAAAATATTTTAGATGACATCCAAGCCGTAAAGAGATTGTATGGGTCACCTGTGAAGATCAGGAAAAGAACAAACTCCAATTACATTTGGAGATCAGAGCTATGTACGAGACCATTCTTGGATGCAGTGACTACTTTGAAAAATGGAACTGTGCTGGCATTCAGAGGTAAATGTCAAATAAGCTAAATTTGTATTATTTTTATTTTGTAACTATCAAATGTTTTATTGCAGGAAACATGTTCTTCGAGTTTAAAACGAATCGAAACCAGTTTAACCCCAAAAGAATCATCAAATTTTTCCCATTTGATGGACCACTAGAAGCTGTTACCACTGATCGACATGGAAATGTGTATTTCTTCAAGGTATTTACAATTTCATACTTACCTGCTAAAAATTATGATACAGAAAGACATATACTGGGTAATGACCAAATACGGTGATATGATGACAGGTTACCCGAAGAAAATATCAGCAGGATTGACCGATACTCCAGATGGTATAAGTGCTGCGTTGTATTATCATCACGATGGGAAACCGTATTTCTTTAAAAGTTGGTTTTTTGGTTATGACAATTGAATATCGAATTTCTAAGATTTTATCATTTGGAAAGTTCGACAGATCGGTGAAATTCATGATCGATCATCATTAGTACCGAGCAGTGCCGCATGTCTCGTTTTGACTTTTTCAGTAGGATCAGTAGGATGCATGGTCAAATTTAGAGTTTGGAAAATCTGAATTCTTCCAATGCTTTGAAAAGTTGGGATTACACAATACATTAATAAATGTATTAATTTATTGTAGTTGACAACTTTTTGTAAAATTTTCTATCTGATGATATATCGGCCCTTTTGTATCTGAAAATGTAACAACAACTCCAAGATGAGCACTGAAATGTTTACGGTTTGAGTGGGTTTTTATTAGAGGATATGCGGTATCTTGCTTTGTTGGGTTTCTACGGAACAGTTTCGTTCAGTTTACTCTGAAATTCTTCAAAAATTGAAAAATGACTGCTTTTTTCAAGACTTAAAGATTTTGACAGGAAAAAATCAAAATATGATATCTAAAATTTCTGGTTTTGTAATTTTAAATGGAATTTCTGTTAGAACAGTTTATGCACGTTATGATGGAGACACTGAGTTGGTCGATCTTAAAGTTCAATTGGAAGTTCTCACCACCGTTTTATCATTTTGTGGGGGGAAAACTAAATTTTGAAAGCCAACAACTCTCCAAAAGTCTGAATTTTTGCTATTTGAAAAACCATTTTCTACTCTTCTTGCTTCTAAATAATTTACATATCAGAGATGTTCACTAATCCTATTTTTACAGAATCTTATTTCTGGCAGTACTCTCGTCATGGAAAACAACAAAAGTGGCCACAGCTGATTGCAGCTATTTTCGAAGGAAAAGTAAACAAACATCCCTCTTCTGTGGACTTATTTTGATTTTCAGGATTATCCACCTGAAATTGATGCTGCTTTCCAACTGCACAACAATGCATCATTTCTGTTTTATCGAGACAAATACTGGAAAGTTAGTGGTAGTCCGATGAGGATAGAGCCCGGGTACCCAAGATCGCTTGCTAAGGACTGGTTTAATTGTGCCTAATTTTGAAACGCTTCTTCCACCTGTATATAAATAAAATGGCTTTCTCACATTTTTTACAGATCTAGCCTTTTTCATGAAATGTACAACAGAACACATTTAAATCCCAACTTTCTTTCATTGTCATCTAGAGAATACAAACATCAGATACAGCGCCACCGTTAGATGCAGAAAGTCCGAAGAGGTTGTGCATTCTTTGTTATGGTCACTGATCCACCATACAGCAATTTGATCAGTTACAGTGATTTGCTCGACGCGGCCTGAGGAAGGATAGCAGCGATCAACCGTTCCGGGGTTTCCGGACCACCTGTGTTATACCAGTCGTTGTGAGCATGTGTGTATGGTTGAATGAGTCAATTGGTATGCGCACTGAAAGCTGATAAATTTCTTTTGGCAACTGTAGGCATGGTGCTTACCTAATTGGTCGGCATAGGCGTTGATGTTCCTTTGGCTCATTCGAATGTGTCGATGTTTGAGGTGATGTCGATCATTTTTTCGATTATCATATCGGAAGTTGGAATGATTAATTGAAAACACCCTATTTTGATTAGCTCCTAGCGAAAACGTAACATTTCTTGATTACACCGGGTGACATCGCAGCATTTTGAGTATACGGTCACAACACTGGCCCTGTTGGTTTAGCCTTTCCATGGTGCTACTATCCTCCTTACGATGGTCTAAAAATTAACTTTGTTTAGTAATGAAATTATTAAAGAATAACGGGATCCTAAAGGTGTATTAAAACATCTTCGAATGCATTTTCTCCGGTTATTAGTCGTTTCAATGCTCAAAATAATAATTAGGATTTCAACTTTTTTAAAAATTTACTTTCCAAATGTTAAAAACAAGGAATGCACAAATTGCCGATCAATAAACTATACAAAAACATATTTTCAGTTGATTTTCAGCCATTTTGGATCATTTCTGAAGCCTGGAGCTTGGCTGTCAAGTTTCCAATCCTATTGAAAACTTTGGAGGGCGTAACACAAACTTAGATTGAAAACGTTTCGCGCACAGAATTTTTCGAAAAATCCAAGTGTTTCAGCTATTTAATGGTTTTTAGAAGAAGTGACCCTTTTTCGTACTGAAAACGTAAAAAAGCAGGTTTTCTTAAAAAACCGGCATATAGCTAAAAAAACTAGGGCATTTCCAAAATTTTTGTAAATCCCAAGTTCTAGATTTGTTTTAGACCCTCCAGAATTTTCTAAGTGGTTTGAAACTTGAGAGAGAAACTCCAGACTCTTGAACGTGTTCAAAATCGACTGAAAACACATTTTGTACATATACGTTATTGATTGCCACTGTTTAGTGTTGGTGAATGTGAAGTTTTCCTTATTAAAAACTTTCAAAAAATGCAAGAGCTTCTGAAAGTTTAATCGAGTGAGACTCATGAAAGCAATTATCCTCGTCGAAATCTGTTGCGAAATATTCATCGAATCTCTTCGACATCCCCATAACTCACCGTTAGACACGTCGCGGACAGGAAGAACTCAGGCCTAAGTTGCCCATGCCATCGGGAAGAACCCTGAAAAAAATCAATATTAGTGAGTCATCATCACCATGAACAATCACTATAAAGTTGAAAAAATGCTGGCAAAAAGAGATACACAGAGAGGAAACATATTAATTGGAGCGCAAGTGTAAAATGAAAAAAATAACGCAAGCTTCAGTGTTTTTCGTAAAGACGTTCAGAGTGTCTGACTACTCTCTAGAACAGTGCCTACTATTTCATTTGTTTTTCAACACCCCGAGGGTTCTGAAAGAGGACTGCGGGACGGGGTAGACAACATTCGACGGCGGTAGGGTGGCGCAACGCAAAAACACCTTTTCGTACGACTTTACGACGAGTTTGATATTATTAGTATTATAACAATCGTAAGAAATCGCTGGAATAAAAACACAATTGCTCGCACAACGTCTAAATCGGCTACAGTAGACAGGACCAAGGCGTGGCTTATTGCACTTTTAGTACACCCAACAACAATGCAAAGAAAAAGATCCCTCAATCATATTTCCAGGATGACCTCGAATTGAACTCTAAGACACATTTCTAATCCTTCACAACTTTGAAAATGACCCCACTACTTACTTCCAATGCGAGCAGCACTTTAATAAACAAAAGATATCCAATTACATTGTCGAAAATCTAAACGGATTGAAGTATTTATACACAAATTTCACCTTTAGGCAAAAAGTGTATTGTATAAACAGCTCAAAAGTGTAAACTACGTGATACGGACTTGTTGGAAAAGTATTAAAATAATTTCGAAACACTGAACATACCGTAAAACCTCTAATAGAACGACACCCGGATCGTCCACTTTGAGCCTATATATCTCATTTTCTGTGAAAGATATCAAAAAGTGGCTAACTAGTAAAATGTTGCTGATATCCTGATAAACATTTTACTAGTTAACCACTTTTGGG